TCCCTCACAAAGTAGTCCTCAGTGTCGTTTGCTGTGGATCTCAGGTCGGGCCCCCCGGGGGGGCCAGAGGGACCGAAGGCGCCGGGGCGGCTTCTCGCACAGGCTGACCGCTTTCGTGTGGTGTTCAGAGTTCCCAACACGTCTAGCACCATTCGAAATCGGTTACTATGTGCAGGGACTTCCAGCAGAGCAGGGTGAGCTGCCTCAGAGGACCAGAAGGTGGCAGCAGTGAGCTGGTGTCATTTTGTCGATATCATTTTACCGAGGGCTCTTAAGATATCACACGTTTATTAAATCAGAATATTAAAAACAACTTTCATCGTGTTATTGTATAAATTAGGCTCTGAATGATATTTGAACAACCTCCTTGGCAGAAACATGATTTGACTGAAACTGTAAACCTTTGTGTATTTAATGGTTCCTGAAGGGGAGATTTGTAGCTTGGAATATTAAAAAAAAAGGTATTAAAATAGTTTTGAGGACACTACAGGGGAATAAGGTAATATAGGCTAATAGATATAATAAAACCTCCGCAGTTGATTATAGACATTAAGCCAATGTTTTTTTTGTGGTACAACCTTTCTGAAATATAAAGTTTAAATATGCAAATGGGAATCTATTAGTAACTCATGGTCAATTTAGGGGGAATCTACCGACATGAAAGGATATAGTGGTAAAATAAAGACCTAAATGTCTATTTTGTATGCTTAAATAAAAATGGGTTATTTCTCTATAATGTGTTTTTTGTGTTATTACATTGTCACTACAGGAAAATTGACATAAAATAATCCAATTATTAATCTACACCCAATTTATTATTGCACACAGTTGAGGCTTTACAACAGCCCTGCAGTAAATCCTTTTCAGTGTGGTTATTATTTTGATTTTTAAACATATTTAGAGATCACGTTGGGAGTTTGGGGTGCTGCTGAATTGAATTGCTTCATGCTGACAGGTGCTTTTATTGTTTTGTCCACCCTCACAGTGTCCCTGTGTGTGTTTGAGCGTCACTATTTGTGTAAATGAGCAACAAAACCAGCAGTCGTTGTGCCAGCATGCAACCAGCATGCCAGCTGATACCGTGAGCTCTTTGCTACCATCTTTGCTAAGATTGTTACCAATCTTTAATCTGTCGCAGCTTTCATTTACCTCTGAAACGTTTTCTTTTCTTCCATTCGCGCTCACAGTGCCCTGCAGGGTTCATCTGGCCTCCACTCCGGCTCTTTAATCTCTCCCCACAACTCTTTCAACTTTCTCAAAATAGAATGTTTGAAAGCAAACTAAAGTGAAAAGTCCTAATATCCTCATTGGGGCTTGAAAGGGGGGAGAACTTTCCCTGCCCCGCATTAGCCGAGTGCGTTGCCATAACAACGATACACAAGGAAGTACCCATTGAGTGTCTTGCTACTTGGTACGGAGAATGTGAGTCACAAGGAGTGTCTCCGCTGAAAAATCATGACATCATCAGCTGCATCATCGTCATCGCCAATGTTTTGGTCCCACTGTCTGCATCCCTGTCGTTGTTGTGCGTGACTGGTGTTTTGGGTTGGGTAAAACGACACTCAGGGTTTTCCTTCAACCTCAGCAGATGTGGGCGGAGGACGGGATGACAGATGGCACGTAGCCGTCACGGAAATAAAGGGTTTGAAGTTGCGGAAAAGAGGAAAAGGCGTGTTGGTGCTTGTATTTGTCCTCACAGAGCAGACTGGGCTTTTGTCTGCATGCTCGCTTCAATGTGTTTAAACATCAAACAGCGTACTGTGATTAAAAAGCAGTTTGCACGCCGGCGCCTAACATCGGCCTACGGTAAAAGTGTTTATAGTCGACGCTGGAAAGGGGAAGAGGGGTGTGGAGCAATGAGGGTCTCCTGGAATTCACACATGGTGTTGCCCACATTGGTTATTTAAAGAGTTGCAGTCATTTATACAAAAAAATACTGAAATTGTCAGAAGCAGTTCACAAAACACAGACCCTGAATGTGCTGGTTGTAAGCGATACGTCCACACGGTATATGAGTGTTGGTCAAGTAGAACCAACTGCCTACTGGCACGCTGATGGTAGGATGCTCGCGCATCTGTTTCTGCTCGCTCTGGGAACCCGTTATGTCCTGTTTGTCTTAAGTTTAAACATCTCCGCTGATGAGACCGACTCTAAAGTGTTTTCATCCGCTTCCTTTCCGCATTAATCTCCAGAAGTGGTTTGTGTTTGCGCAGACACACGCGTCAACCCGGGTTGTTCACAAAGTGCATCACTTCCTGTGAGCTTCTCCTCTGGTGCTCATGTGGCCGGAGCGGGATGGAGCGGACCTTCTCATGCAGAGCTGCAGGGCGGATTTCCTCCTCTTTGTGTCCTGGCACAAGATGAAGGCCGGTGATGATCGGTTCAACGTCCAGCCGGAACGACTTGTATTTGATTGAAAACTTCCTGAAGGAGAATGATTGATTCATATTTAGCTTAGGGCCTTTTCTGTGTGTCAGCGAGACGCTTCAGTTTTGCTCCTTTGGGGTTTGGAGTCTTTCAAATAAGGTATATTTCATCTTATACAATTTCACAATCTTATACAAAGAACAAGTACCTAAAAGATGCATTTCCCTGTGAATCCTTCCTTTCCATAAACCCCCCAAAACATGTCAAATAATACAGATTAAGGGACACATTTGTTTGTAAATGCGTGATGAAAAACACGTATCGCTGTTTTTATCGACTGTTTTACTGTACAGCACAAACGTAGCACGTTTTAAATCGGTCTCAGAACATCAGCGTTGTCTCAGGGACAAAGTGAATTCTCTGTATCAGGATCCCGACAAAGAGGATGTTCACACACATCACCAAGTTCCTGTCCTTCTCAAACAGGATAGGAACTCGTGGAAAAATGAAAGTGCCGAGTGACAACTTTGCATTTTCATGCGAAGATCCCACAACTCTGAACTCTGATACTCGTGGAAAAGCCTGATCGGCGCTCTAAACAACTTCCTGGCGACCCAACGTTTTGAGAGATGCATATTTTTCAAGGTCGTCTGACAGTGATGATGCCGTATGAGCCAGGATGGGTGCGGTTCTATACTAAAAACAGAGTTCAAAAGAGGAATCAACCCTTTCCATTTTAGAGGGTGGAAAACTTAGAATACCTTAGACGTTCACTCCACTTCCCTGTGGCTGAAGCCACTTCTCACTTCACACTCTCACAGGAATAGAACCCGTTAAACTGGTTAGTCATGCCGATGCGGTATAAAGTGCATGATTATTTACTCGCGCTTCATCACCATGGTTGCCATCCTGGGTCACTGGGCCGCAGCCTGGTGCGTAATGATGGTGAAACCTCAGTGTTGACTGCTGGGTGACTAAGCAAAGAGTTTGAAATGCTTGATCCCTCATCGTTATTCCATGTGTTCACCTGCTTCTGGTGTGAGATGGGTCATTTTCAGGGAGGGCAATGATGGGTAGACGGGCTGGTACTTTGGTCAAGGGTGGAATAGTCTGATGGTATTCACAGACATCAAGGATCTACAAAGTATCCTAAAGCCACTAAGAGGCTGACAATTTGAGTTTTGGGTAACATTTCTCCACTTGGCAGAATGCAAATTGGCATTTATATCTCCCTCGGGGTGAATTTTGTTCACCTAAATTCCTCCTTTGTGTAACACTTTGGTTTATGACCAAATACAAATGACATTGCTGTTTTTATAGCATTTTCCCTTAAAGCACCCAAACACACACTCATTGGTCTTGTTTCAGTGTGTTGGCTTGTTGTCTCTCTTCAATACTTCACAGCAGCCCTCAAACCCTTTTATACCAAGAGATTTCTCAGCAAAAAATATGGTAAAAAATATGGACTGTGGAAAAGAAAAAAAAAGACAGCTGGCCCCAGTTTTTTTTGTGATCAAAATTTTTTTCTTTTTCAGATATACATTAACAATCACGGCCGCAGTTTTTTTAAACATAGTCAACAGGAGTACATTTCATCACGTGCAAATGTTTAAACAACTGATACGTGCAAAGATGTAAAGATAGACATCATGAATGTCGGACTGAGCAAAGGATCAAAGTCACTCGGCCTTTTTGCTGCTTTCGACATTTGGCTGTGCGGGTTGGTGTGATCTCTTATCGTCGGCCAATAAGAAACTGTCTGCAGACTTATCTTTAAAATCAAAATCAAGCATTGTTTGTGAGGTTCCCAGGAAAATCCAGACGGTTCCAACGGGCAAAACATCAGACATCATAAAAGCTCTCTTTTCTCCTCTGCTCTTGTTGGGGGGGGGGGGGGGGGGGGGCGCTGGCGTTGTAGGATGGCGGATGGCTTCTACAAAGACAGCCACTGTTGTCTACGGCCAAACGCTCCTCTCCGGTAGAACACTGGGATGAGTGCACGCCCTGTTCATGGCCACACTTCAATTAAGTTCATGAAAGCATCCTTTTAATGAAGCTAAATGTCAATCACGTACTCAGACGTTCAACCCTGCCCATAAATGAATTTGTTCTTTTGAAGAACACACAGGAACTCTCTTTTGATCCACAGAAGGTTAAAAGCCTGTGGCAGGACAACAGACCCACAATGGAACAGTGTAACCACATTTTATCACAGGGATTTTCTCTGGACTGGTTCACACCCCTGCCAGGATAATAGCTGTATCCGGCACCACTGCCACCACTGAGAATGTAACGAGTTTCCACTTCATGGCACAAAAAATGCTACTTTGCAAGTGAGCAATGCTTCAACATGCCCAACGGCTGAACTATCAAAACGAATTTAAAGCTCTTTCCTGAGAATCTTGCCGCATACTTAATGCGGTGCTAAGTATTACAAGGTTTCTTGATGGTCGGTTCTTTTCTCATTAGGGAAGGTTATTCTGCACAGGGCACGAAAAAGAACAATAGACAATGTAAAAAAAGAAAGTCAGGGGGCAAAGAATGCAGCTGATTGTATCAGCGATCATTCCAGTCCGCAAAATGAATCAACCACATTGTACTCTTCTAGTCACCTTCCAAGTCCAAACGAAAGATACGATAAGAGATAATATTCCTTTATTAGTCCCACAATGGGAAAATTCACAGGAATTGCACAGTGCACAACAGACACAAAACAGCACGTTTGTAACTTGCATGGCCTTAATAGAATGAAATCAGACTAAAAAACAAGAAGCAAAATATTCTTCGCATACTTCATAACACATGGAGACAATGTTTATTCCACTCTATTACATAAATAATGTACACATATTAATAGTATAGTGGCATGAGGTATTTACAGTTGATAAAAAAAGTCATTATAAAAAGTGCTTTTCATTGGTGGATGCTGATTTTAGTCACGATGCTTTTAAATGTTCCATTATCTGCCAATCGAAAGGCAACAAAATTGGCACAAGTTGTCTTCTGTCCCGCCGTGGACTCGGGGAGGCACCGCTACGGTATCTCCGTCTTGTTTTTAATAAATGTCCACTGTTCCATTGGCAGAGCTGGCGTCGACAAGAAATGAAGAAAAATACGGATTAGTTTGAGCTTCAGTCACTCGGTGGTGCAGAAAAAAGAAGGGAAACAGCACACGATTGATTTCACCTTCATAGTATTTGAAAAAAGGACGTTAGCTTATTTCAGAGACGTAAATGAACAGTCCCCTAATATATACTTTGGTTGTTTTATAGTCCTTGATAGCAGTAAGTAAGTGACAGGTACCTTGGTCAGGCAGGCAATATGGATTTTGGAACTGTAATAACTCCGGCTTCAGGTCTTCTCGGGTGTCATATGAGCTATGATGTCATCAAATAAGGAATTTGCGTCAGAATTGTTGAGTTATGTTATTTTTATGTTAAACGGTATTAGTTCACCTTATGGCGTGTTAGTGTTAGTCTTTAACATTAATCATCATTATCATTATTATCCTTTTAATGATTTGTATTTAACATTGGCTCAATGAAATGCGTGAAGCATGCGCATGATTATATGTGGTTGGAAGGTAAAGGAAGCTTCTGTCTGAGCGTATCGGTTGATCGTAAAGTAACTTTGTTCAGATCACATGAATGTCATGAATGAAACTGTAACTTCAAACAACATTTACTTTGGCCTGTATCCCTCACATTTTACTGATTCATTGAAGACATCCGGATTCCTTTACGCATGAACAGAATTTTATTTCTGACGCTGAATATTTTTATTAAAGGATTTCCTGTTGACTTCCATTATTCATCAGCCCATTCTAGATGCCCTCAAACACACACAAAGCAAAAGCTAAAGTACTGCAGAGTTAAAGCTCCTAGCAGATGTCAGTGCATGCCATATTTCTTCAGAAATACGTGCTGATATTGTTGTGGGGTGGGATCAGACAATACGTTACTGTGCAAACAGCAGAAAAGGCAAAGGGAGTTTAAATTATAATCAGGGAGGACGAATGCATTAGAAAGATTGAAACATTGAATCTCACCCTTTTCTCTTCAGAAGAAACTTGTGTAAACAGAGTGCAAAGATACACCCAACTGGAAAGAAAAAAAGGAAAAGAGATTTATTGAATTTGGCATTTCCAACGCAAAACATAGCGTGAGTGGAATGTGCAGTGCATTACCTAATGAGACGCATATGACACTGATTATAACAGGCGTATAACCTGAAAGACACGAGCAAAGTTAAATGCAAAGGATAAGAAATGACACCATGTTAACATCTTGGTGGAACTGATGCTCCGTAACTCACCAATATCCTTGTGAGTATCCACAGCCCCCCCGTGCTCTTCTGCAAGGATAAAACTGTATCATTAGTGTGTAAATTATTCAAACTGGACAACATGAAGGCCAAGCATGATCAACACATTCGAGATGGTCCGAATGTGTTGATCCGCCTCATTTACAGCTTTAAAGCCATCGTGTGAAAGGTTTATGTTGCTTTCGCCTTATTTTCTTTGGAGAGATCAAACATTGATATATTAACTGGCACAGGGACTTAGGGAGGGAGACATGTCTGCAAATATTAACTGGCAGTTCAACTTGCTCAACAAAGTAAAGCCATTATTATCCGTGGTGCAAAATATAATAATTACAAACCAAACTGAGTATTTAATTGTAGGGTTAAAGAAATGGTTTGACATGTTGGATTAAAACAATCTGATTGCTTTCTGGTGCAGTAAATTAGAGTATGTACACCAAAAGAAGCTAGTTGGATTGGTTACTTTAGATTAGCACAAAGTAAAGAACAGTTTGGCCTTTAAAAGACCCACACGAGACCCTTTGAAAACTCACCAGTTTGAATATTGCTTGTTTTCAAGCGTAAGGTGTAAAAAAAAAAAAAAACACGTTATGAAGGTTTTGTGTGGACTTTGATGTTGTCTGTGAGCAGGAACTTCTTGGGAATCTTTGCTGGTTGCCTAGCAACTCCTCAGAGCAAAGAATAGCCATGCCCATTACCCACAGACTAAATGGCAATTGTTATTTTTACACTTCAGTTCCTCCAGACCGCTGCAAGAGAGCAAATGCACCTTTTTCCCAAATATATATCCGCTGTAATATTCACTGTTCAATTATTTTCCCAAAAGGACCCGTAGTGAATCTCATGTTTGACCAACAGATCCAGGGCGTTAGCTGCAGTGAAGTGGTTTAAAACAATAACGGGAATGAGTTCTTTTTCTCATTTCTGCCTCTTTGGATTTACTCCAATGTAATTTCATCGTCCTTTCCAGGCGGCTTTAATCGCGAGGGCAGACGCAACGCTTACGACTCGCCATCGCCTTTAGAGGAGCAAGTGGTACTACACGGCAGGAGGGGTCGGGGCTAGCTGCTTAGCATGCTCGCTTCGCGGGCCGTAACGTCTGCGAACCTCTTCACATTCTGTTGATGCCGTTCCATGAAAGATGGCCGTACATTATCCACTGACACGACCAGGCCCCAAATAACAAACCTAATTGTAATCAGACTGAGGGCTTCTTCGGGAAGCACCTGCTCACCGGAGGCCCCGTAAAAATAAGGTAACGACTCGAGGAAAACCTTTTCATTTAGCTACTCGGTACCTTGAAGTGAAGACGATGTCGTTGGCGTCTCAGTGGTCGTTGTGGCTTCGCTCCCAACTGTCAACATGCCTCTGACACCTTTGAACGCAGCGATCAGAGCGACACTTAATACGCATAAAGTGATTTGCAGAGTCGAGCAGAAATTTCTTGCGGAGCATGCGGCATGCACGGCGTGCGCGCAATCCACTCACGTGTTGTGCCTAAAAGCTTGTCAACTGAGGAACGCACAGACGGCCTTGTTTGGAGAATCTTTTCCGTACCTGGCTTTGAAGGTGAGACTGTTCGTGTGGCGCTGGTGGTTTTATCTGTGAGCGAGGCAGGCGATTCTGTACTTGGGGACACTTCTGTGGGAAATCATCAGCAGTGTCAAATCTGTCCACGACCTTCATTCACTGGTAAGTAAGTATATATGTATATAACCTATGAATGTATATACCTTGTGGAGGTGTAGATGTTGGTGATGCCGTAGCTGTTGTAATTCTTTCTTCTGTTCTCACACCTGAGAACAGAAGAGACAGCCATTTATGAGATGATTATGAGTGATGGAACATGCATACATACATATATATTATATATACATATATATATAGTAGTTAACATGCAGGATGTAGCAATGACACCCTTTTTGTTTAACCATCCACAGAAAGTTACAAACTAATCTGATCAAATCCACAAGGACAGGATGCTCTTTGGGTCAATTCCCCGTCAAGCTGTTATTAGTGTGTCATCCCGTCTCTGCTGCAGGACAAACTCTCCCAGCTGCACGTGCCCGACTCCACCTGCAAGTGGATCACTGACTTCCTGCCTGACAGGAAGCGGCGCGTGAAGCCGGGGAAACATGTCTCAGCAGCGGCTCCCCCCAAAGGCTGCGTTCTTTCCTCTCTGCTCTTCTCCCTGTACACCAACAGCTGCACCTCCAACCCGTGGCTGAAGTTTGCGGATGACACCACCCTCATTGGACTGATCTCTGGTGGGGATGAGTCCGCCTACAGGTGAGAGCCTGACCATCTGGTGTCGGGGGTGCAGCCAGAACAACCTGGAGCTCAACGCTCTAAAGACAGTGGTGGATTTCCTCCTCCATCACCGCCTGGTACGCTGCAGCCACAGCCGAGGGCAAGCTGCAGAGTGTCATCCGCTCTGCAGAGAGGCTGATCGGCTGCCGATCTGTTGTCCCTCCAGGACTTGTTCGCTTCCAGAACCCTGAAGCGAGCTAAAAAGATCGTAGCCGACCCCTCTCACCCCAGACAAAAACTGTTTGTGCCACTTCCATCTGGCAGGAAGCTGAGGTCCATCAGGACTAAGACTTCCCGCCACACGAACAGCTTCTTCCCGTCGGCAGTCGGGCTCATCAACAGAGGACGGTCCCTCACTGACTGACTCTGACTTTCCGCCGGTCACTTTCACTTGTCACTTTCTGTTCGCTGGTGCACTTTATTTTTAACTTCGTTAATTTTTTATGTTGTTTTGTGGTCCACTGTCCTGCTGTCATGCACCAACCGCCAAGAAAAACTCCATGTATGTCCGACATATTATGGTAATAAATGTTTCTTGGATTCCTGGTGCTGATTCCTGATTATAAACTCTGGAGAGGTATGAAGGCTGTGTTGTCGATGCTCATGGACACTGTGGAAACACCTGTATTACCTGTACAGTAAATCATATTTCAATGTCCTTGAACACACCGAACTGGATAATTGAAAACCGTTTTTTCCGACCCGACTGGGCTGGACAGATGCTCGCCTGCACACCGCTCGGGTCCTGCCCGAGGTTTCCACTCTTTATAGATGATTTTTTGCCCATGTCTCTGCTTATTGGGGACTGTTTGGTCTCTACACAGTACTGATTACTTCTGTTTGGATTTGAAGCTAATTAAAGTACATACCTATTTTAAACAATGGGTTTGAATATGCGTATCTACCTGTGCGGTCGAGCACATGGTTGGAGGGTGCTTACCTTCGCACGAGGGAGCCGGAGAATCGTATTCACCGTCTTCGCCGCACATAATGCTGCTGTTCCCGATGAGGGTGAATCCTTGCTTGCAGACGTACTCTATGACCTCTCCATATTTTGGCTCGTCTTGAGAATCCCATGAGATTCTGCCATCGAGGACTTCCGGAGGTGCATCGCATGAAACGACTGAGGATACAAAGAGGTGCCAAATAGCTTTGGTTGTAGGAGCAGTTGTTGTGTCTTCTGCTTCGACCGTCTTTAAAACACAACATAAGAGACACTTACTGTTACACTTGGCGGACCCACTCCAGCCCGTCGCATAGCACTGTTTGTAGCTGGATCCACTGAGCTGGAATCTGTGGAAAAACGGAGGAAAATAAAGCAGGACTGCTTGTTACAACGGAAAGTTGATCTCCACTTCCAAAGTGCATTCTTTAAGAGCGAAGTGGAGAACCTTGTATTAACCATGACCTCAGTTTTGGCAGAAGAAAAGCCTCATTTCTTATCAGTGAAACCATAACGTAAGACTTTATTGTGACGGCTTAGATTTGTCTCCCTGTGCACTATAGCGGCTGTTTTCATTGGCGAATCCACCTCGACTTCTACGTCTACTGACTGTTTTCCCGCAGCTCTGCCTGGACGGCAGTGCAGCAAAAGGAGATGCTTCGTAAATGACATGACTATGTCCTGAGAAAGCAGCTATATGGGAAATATATTCTGTCCTTTTATATTCCTACTCACCCTTTATCGCAGAATACTCTTATTACATTGCCAAACAGGGTACCAGTGCTGAGGTCGAAGAGCATATTGGGCCTAGATTCAGGGAAACCACAGTCCTTCTCTGTAATACAAACACAAACCACAGAACTTTAGGGAAGGAGGCATCGACCCCACGATGGCAGAATTAAGCTGGTTGGTTGTCTGATGAAGGGGCGAGTGATGGAAGCAGGTAGGACTCACTTTTGCAGATGAGGTCTGATTCACTCCAATTCTTTTGAGCGCAGGTTATTTTCCCGGAGCCGCTTTCCACAACGTACCCATTGGCACACTCAAAGTACACTTCAACGCCCTCTGAGAATGTATTCAAAAGGAGCGATTGGTCGGTCAAGACGGTGTTTTCTTTTGCCTCGGGTTTTGAACATTCGGCTGGAGAAAAGAGGAGAAAAAGAAGCAACGTCAACCGTCAAATATATCGGTTTCAGTTCACCTGGAATTCTGTAATGTGGGGAAATAAGTAAATATAAAAAGTAAATATCAGAGTTACGTCATAGTCATTCATAAAATGATTCAATGTGACTAAATTCCTCGGTAAGTATACTAATTAAAAATACTTAAAATACATAAAAGATAAGTCTTTATTATTATTTGAGTCATTGATAAAAGGGTTTTAATCCATCAATTCTGGAGTAAAAGTGCTTATTAAAGGGGTTCTAATCCCTCCGCAGTTATCTATGTTGCAAATCCAAATGGATTTTTCCATTTAGATTCCACTCATCAATAATTTGTTGCGAACATATCAGAATATTCGTATATTCTAAGAATAGGTTCTCAATAATCTGATGCATTTCACACCACAGCCCACATTGGCAACTTCATACTTAATGAAAGTGTCTTATCTCTGACCAACCCCCACAAACTATTTCTGAACTATTCGGGGAGGAGAGATTAATGTCTTCACAGTTCACCTCATGCTCCTTGAATATCGCTCCGGAGACGGGACCACATGTCCCCGATAGTCTCTGTTGTATTCACCCACAACTTCTACCAAAGATCACAACGTATACAATCGCAAACATTTTTGTAAATCTCAATGATAAAGTATGACACACTATTTGTAAGTTTTAAAAAACGGTGTTACTTTCTGGAGCATAATTTAGAAAACACACGACTTAACAGTAAGAAACGCTTATAATAGGCATAACAATCAAGCCGGCTGTTTGAGCTGGAACTCCCATGTGACTTGTGTAAATTGATAATATGATCTTATTAGAGGTTAAACTGACCTGCTGCCTTCACGGCCAAGAGGATTAGTAGCAACAGAGACGCGACCCTCCGCCGTGCACACGTGTCCAGTAGAACCTCCATGCCGGGCTGCGGGAGGAGACCGAAGACCCTGAAGTCCAGACTCAAGTTCCAGGTTCCAAGTTCTCCGGAGGAGGAAGAGACGCGATCTGTTCCTCTGCCGGTCACCAGTGATCCTCCCCTGAACGCATCACTCGGCTATTATCTACTCAAGTTAACGGCACTGCAGGAAATGAGAGAATCGCGGCCCTTCAAAATAAAAGCGGACTCCGCCCAACATGTAGATTATTTAATCCTAACTAACAGATTCATGATCAAACGCAGGCTACCAGTAATTCCAGGTCATCTTGCATTCCCGTAGGGTACATTGGACTTTAGTCTTGTACCATTAAAAAGAAAGAATTTAAATAAATACGTCTTATTCTGAAAAGGCTAAGCAGGAAGCTTTCGCATGCTAAAGGTCGTTTTAGGCTGAACTCCCTCCCATAAGAGGCCGACGTCTCCCCAAAAGTGTCAACTCCAAACTGTATGTAGGTGTGTCCTGGAAAAAGTGTGTATTCCCTCTGAGGGGGAATCCTTACTTCATTCTACTTCGTGTATTCTCACCAAGGCAACAGTGTACACATACTATACTTTTCAATCGTTGCAACCCAAGTATGTGCCTTTTATTAATAACAACTAATCAAATCGATCAAACAAAAGAACGAGAAACCAGTCTGGGATGGATGACACAGAGCCTGGACCACCTGGACCACCGGGGGCCAAGACCTGCTGGCCAAGTCAGGCAGCAACATAGAAACACAAGTTACAGACAGACAACAGCAAATAAGACAAGTTGAAAGAAACTAAAAGTTTGAGCGACGTTGCCGGGTTAAAAAAAAAAAACCAAAACATTTTTGGGAACCAGCCTCAATTTTCTTCATTTTAGTAAAAGCAGGAAGTGGAATCAATTATTTCGGTTTTAAATCTTTCTGCAACATATTCCATGATGAGCGTGACAAGAAGCATAAAGAAGACCGCAAAGAACTTTCTGAGGTTGGAATTATTGATTTACATTCCACAGTTCCCTTCAGTAAAAAAGGGGCTTTGCTCACTTGCCTCACACACTTGGCTCAATTCCAGTGAGTTCACTCCACCGCCCAATGTTAGCCACACCAGTGCATGGACATCTGCCGTCCTCCACCCCTAGTTGCCTAAGAAACACATGTTACATAGAAAAAATGGCTGCAACGTTTACAAAGTGGTGGAGCAGAATGTGCTATTGCTAGTTGTTTTTTCCACATATAATCCCTGTAAAGTGGGATACACAGAGAGGCCGGGAGGTCTAACTGGCCAATAAGAAGTGAGCAAAATGGCGTGTTTCACAGCAAGGCCCTTTGAGAAGAGCTGCGGCATGGCCTTCTTATCTCTGCAAACACCTTGTCCAAGAGAACGATTACGACACCTCCCTTCTCCAGTAAGCAGTGTGTAAAGACTGCACCTGTTTCTCTTCACGTCTGATAAAGAGGAAAAAGAAAAAACCAAGCTGCCACGCAGACAGTTAACATCTGTCCACAGCTGCATAGCTCCCCTGTTTCACACCTTTGGGCCCTTGGGAGAATGGAGAGAAAGGGGGAGCGAGGTCAAAACCCTCTTTCCCTCCCCTTGTTGTTTGTTTCTCTCCCCACACTTCTCGGGGCGGGGCGGGAGGGAATCAAAGGCCGGTGTGTGCGCAGAAATGTTTCCCCCCCATGCGCACAGGAGGTTTAGTCTCCCCCCCCCCCCCCCCCCCTCTTGCTGCGAGATAAGACGGTTCCATCGAGTCGAGGCCCGTCCTTCACATCTTTGATCGGTGCATGCACTTCTTTAAGATGAGCGCTAGACGCTTTGCTGTAAATCGTGACATCTAGTGGCGCAAAGTGGGAACGGCATAAAAACCCAAAAGCTCTGACGAATGAAGGCAGGATCTTCAATATGCAAGAATTACGTGAACTGTGATTATGCGCAGCGGTTTATGCTAAATCATGCAGAAACACAAGATTATTATACAGAGCGACAACCTCAAGCCGTTTAACATTTTGACATTGCCCACAAGTGCTGCACCTGTTTGAAACATAAAAAATATGCCTTTTATGTCATTGTGAATGAAAAAAAGTGCATAATTGCTGGTTATGGTGAATGTAGCTTTGCTTTGAAATAGTCGGTAACACCCAGTTCCACACATCATTTCATTCCACCTTCCTGATGTAGAGCATCAAATTTCAGTCGGTCTTAAGCACTTCCAGCCATCATCCCACCACGCGCCATTAACAGTCTTCTACGGCCGCATAATGCCTCAAGAACCGGGCCGCCCTCGTTCCAACCGGGGGGTCAAAAGAGATGCTACTCACAGCATTTCAAAGTGCAATGGTTTACTCAAACAGCTTCAGTGTTTTTGCAGTTACACCCGTTTCTAATCCATACAGTCACATGTGTCAGCTTTATCTTGTGTTCTGACACGGCCCCCCCCCCCCCCGCCCGAGACTCATGGCTGCCTTTGAAAGATGGATTTTTAATGGTGGTGACGTATGCACGGCACACCGTAGCTTCCACCAAGCTTTCTCCTGTAATTGAAAAAGCCTCGTCTTCGTGCAGTGAGCCTCGGCTCTGCAGAGGAAAGCAGTCGGCTACCATGACAACAGGAAATCTGCCATAGTAACAGTGTCTTACGCCGCGTTGTCAAATGGGAGGACAGTATTGTTGCATCCAGTGAGAAATAAATAAATCTAAATATGACACCTAAGTGATTAAGCTCTATATCTATTAAGCTGAATTATAGAATACAAATAGAATGGCATCGTTCCAATGCAAAGTGGCTGTTTTATTTTCAGTACAAGAACTACCCAGGAAAGTGTATTCCTGTCGGGCCCGGAGAGGAGGCACCGACCGATTACCGATGCGGATTCCGGCCCCATGCAGTCGACATGTCTTTGATGGACTTTGAGGAAGTTGGGGCCGTTGCTACGAGGCATCCGGTCCTCGTGTGTTCTTAAACCCGGCACAAAGTCAAAACACAGTGCGGAGGGTTGTCCCCTGTCATCAACTCTGTCCCCGATTGTCATGGACAGGATCTCAAGGCGCAGCCGAGGGGGGAGAGGGTGAGAGTGTTTCGTCTGGGGGGAGGGGGGGGGTTGCGTTTCTGCTCTTTGCAGATGATGTTGTTCTGTTGGCTCCAATCGGGCCGCGACCTTCACGATGCCATGCAGCCACTAGACGAGGTTGAAGAGGTCGGCAAGAGCGCCAGTGTGTGAGAGTGTTGGATTGGGCCCAGCGGTGGGAGCGAGTAACCGCCCCAATTGAAGGGGGGTGGGGGGGGGCAGGCATCTCAGGGCCTGGTTAAGGGTATCTGATCTGGAACCCCCAATCCCCGGCAATAGCTGGAAAATGCGAGGAAAGGGACACGGTGGAAGACAATGGATCGATGGATGGAAAAGGTCTAGAGGATGTTTTCAGTAAAACTTTATTTTTCAGTGCATGAACGGAACACCATGTCAAGGTCATAGTCTATCCTTTTCAATTCATTTTTAAATATTTTCTCTTTCTTTACATAAAAAAATAATGGAGCCATTTAATATACCTCTATTTTTTCTCCCCGAAAGAGCACTCAGCAAGTATTTATAAAGGTGCTGTACAATGTACAAACATTTACATCTAATGTTCCTACAGAATGTAGAAGATACCACGAGGATTGTTTTTTGTCTAATGAAGCGATGCAAGGCCACAGTATGATACAGAGAGAAAATAAAACCAAATAAAACCAAAACAACAGAAACGTGGTCAAAATAAAAGCATAACGGAGAACAACAGTGCAGGGGTCAAACAATAAAAAAAGGGCATTATTTGACTCACCAGAGTCAGCTGCCTGTTCCTGACAGTCAAGGTTGGATTTACTCATTCAACTATTGCACAAAAACCCCCGACGCATCGGCTCACAGCGTATCCTCGAGTATATTGTGACCCTGAAACCTCCCGTATACAATCACAAGCTCTTATCACAGTCAACCACAGACATTAACCATCTTCTGACCGCCGCTTTGGCCACACGTTTGCTACTGTACTGTGTTCCCTGAGCTCATCTGAATATCTCTTGATCTCGTCGATTGTATCAACAGGTGTGTTGAATATATTCTACTTTTCTCTGATTTTACAGCATATTAAAACACTCGATGAAACAGTAAAATTGCTTTGAACACACTGTTTTTTCTTCGGACACCAGCTTAAAGACACTAAAAGAAAGTAAGAAGTTGGGATCTCTGTATGCCGCCACATCGCTCTCTAAGCTCCATTATCCTTCAAGCTACGCTGATAATTATACAGTAGGAATGACATACACATACAAACCCTCATTTCTCTCTTCCCAGTACACGGCAAATGTAAAACCATCAGGGACACTCAGAACTTGCACATCGTGACGTAAATCAGCCTAAAATAATATATATTTTTCTTCCTTTTTTTGAAAAACTGAAATAGGTTTATAAAATCACAATAACAATATTAACAAAATTTCATTGGTAGCAGGTCGGCATCACAAATGGGCTTTCTGTTATGCTACAAGGGCAGATGCAGTGCAATGGAATTTCAATAGATATTTAAAAGTTAGAGTCTGCAAAACATGACACATTCAAATATGTATATATATATATATTTGTATATATATATATATATTATATCACCATGAGACACATTTTGAGCGATTGCAAACATTTGGTACAGCGGTTTGCACGTTACTTTTACGTTTCATGAACTACAAGATCCATGGTAATTCCTACCACTGCGATACAGAGGTGAAAGATCGGATAACATGGGCAAAATCTTTAAAGTCTCTATCAAAATGTGGAATGGCTTGGTACAGCTACATGTACACACATTAATGTTTCATCTCAATAAATTACACACTGGTTGGTTATCATACACATAGTAAACAAGATCTCAAACCACAAGTTTCTGGTCTTTCTAATGGAGCAGTTTGTACGGAGGAGAGTCATGTCTATAATCGTAAAACAGTCTGGAGTCCCCGGGCAAAGTGAATGCTTGCTGGATTGTATTAGAAATCTGCCTGGTGTTGAGAATGAGAACTAAGAAAGGAGAAAAAAGGGGGGATCGTCGTCGGTGACGCGCGGAACACGTGCGGTAAAACAAACAGAAAGGCCGACTGCATGCAGTTGAGCAGACTTCTATTTAAAAAGAAAAAGAGAGTCAAAATATGCCACGATGAGGCGGAAAGCCAAATCAAACCCGAGGTGACCGTCACACTCGGGGGTTTACTACGGGCGAGAGGCCTTTCTTTGCATATGGGTCGTTGCATTGCGATGGGTGAAGCGCCGTCGGCCATTGTGGTTCCACTAAAGGCTCCCAGGATTGGCACACGTATGTATGTATATATTCGCATCTCAGGACGCCTCCTTGCGGGGGAAAAAAGGCCCCCCCCCCCGAGCGCGCCGCACTCGCTCCAAGTCCCACGTCCGGGAGGCTGGAGCGAGCGGGCAAGGCGGAGGGGAGCTGCTACATGCCCGTGTCAGAAGACCCAAAGACGAACGCCGCGGACACGGGCCAAAGGTAACGAAAGCGGAGCCGCGTCGCACTCTTCTGTTTCATGGAAGCACTCGGGGGAAAAAAAACAATTTGCTCAGGGTGCTGTTGAATATTCACAATGTTCTACCACGAGGGGTGACGCAGGACCTCTTCCTTGGAGAGGATTCTGGCCGAGCTGGGCACCTTCCAGGGGCCGGGGTTAATAGGTCCCTTTGGGCTCTGCGATGTGTCTTCTCGGCCCCTGACATCTTTGCAGGAAGAGTATGTGTCTTCTCTTCCTTTCGCCTCCCTTGGCAAAACTACGGAACCTCTTCTACTCCACATTTCTTTAAAAAACAACAGAGATTCTCTTTTTTTGATGGTTTCTTTACCGGTGCTTCGGCCTTCTGTTGATTCACACTTCCCGTTAGCGTCTCTCTGCCCCGAGTCTTTACCTGCAGCTTTCTCGGCCTCTCCGCCTGCAGGCCGCTGGCACCCGAGGGTTTGAGACCTTCCTTCCACCCTCCTTTTGAAGCTTTCGTGCTCCCGGACAGGCCTCCCCTGGTCCACCCTCCCTGCCAACTCCCGTCCTTGTGAATATCTCCTGATCTCAAGATTCCCCCCTTTGCCGTTTCTCTTTTCGTGATCCAAACTCTCGCTGCTGGCAGAGACTTTCGATCTCCTCTGAGGGCCTTGTTGATGCTCCGCCAGCTGCAGGGTGGAAGCCGCTCGCCGTCCAGCTGGAAGAGACTTCCTGGGGCTGGCGGGTCCTGTTTTGGTCTGCGTCCGAGACGTCCCGGTCCCGCTCTGTGGCTCTTCCCGTGCCGGACTATCGGCCTTCTTGGGCCTGCGATGTTGCTCTTTGGATTGAGGAAATGTCTCCCCTGTTTTCTTTGGGCTGCTTAGCTCTCGGGGGTCTCTCAAGGGCCTGGTCCTCTTGGAGAAGTTCACGTGCTCGAGGGAGGCGGGAGAGCGCGTTTCTACCTCCCGCCTCTCCTGCACCGAGCCTAAACCCCTGCTGCTGCGCTGCCTGACGCCCTTCGCGGAGATGTTGCTGCAGCTGTGGGAATGTTTCAGTTTGCTGGAGGAGGGAGAGGGAGCGAAGATGGAAGCCCCGGTTGCATGTGGAGGGGACAGTGGTGATGTATCGGAGAAAAACACTTCTCCCATGTGGCCTGTGGGTGAAATGAGTTTTCCATCACGTCGACCTGTGGGAGAAGCACACATTTTACACGGAGACGCCAAACGGGCACACGGATATTTAGGGACAACCAAAAGAAAAGAACAAGGAGACTCGGAGGGAGAGAAAGAGACACGTTAAAGCGAAAGAGGAATTACCAAGATAAGAGAGGAGACGGCGGTGAAAGCAGTGAAGATGTTAGTGTTGGTGTTCAGTGTAGTAGCACGCAGTAGAAGAAGCGCTGCCACCTGCATCAAGAGAAGAAGAGCCAACGGCAAGCAGAGCGTTAAGAGATTTAACGAAGAAATAAAAGGACTCAATAACGAAAGTACATTCATATCGATGCGGGCCGCATTCCAAAGTGGGCGTCATCAATCCACCCGACGGATGGCGTCGTTATCGTTAACGTTGGGATTTATGGATTCAACACGTACTGAACAACAGTCGCTGTTCCCTCCCTGCAAACCCGTTTAGTAAATAGAAACGAAGTTCTCTGATTGTGTTGAACAGTCGACACAATCTCATCGCAAATGAATCACGTTTTTCGCTTTCCTAACTGCTCTCAGTCTCATGCTTTAAGTTAAGAGGCTGCCGGCTGTAGTTTCATGTTCAAGGCGCAATTATCGGGGTGAAATCGAACCTTCTGGTCAAACTCCCCGCAAACTGCTATTAAAGCAAGAAAAAGATGAAATCTCATGAATACATTAAACCAGTAAATCCAATTTAGTCGACTCAGTGCTAATGCTGTCGACTATAAAACCCCTCTCATTGTCCAAAAAAAAAAAAGGCGCTTAACTGAGCGATGCCGGTGTTTATTCAAGCGGAACGATCCCGCGTGTTTACAGTACTCACCGCCGTCTTGAGCCAGGCCCGCTCCAGGCCGCAGCAGCACCGCCACTTTGCTTCCTCCAGCCTGGATCAGCTCGATGGCCCGCGTGTGGGAAATGCCGCGTGCCGGCTCCCCGTTAATCTCCACGATCTCATCTCCGACCTGTCCGGTACCGCGGAGGAGAAAGTCATCAAACAGGACGAGATCCGAGCCGGAGCTTAGCGCATTCACGCTTCAACTGAAAACGTCCTTAAGGGGGGGTTTGCTTTCACACACGTACTGTACACATCAAAACATCTCAGATGCATGTCAGTCACACACACACAAACACGCAGCCTTGTAAGGCCCTGGAGGTATCCTCTATTATTGGATTTGACAAAATAACTCATGATAAAGTGCGTAAACATGTCAGTCTGTTGGGATGGAATCGGTGTTGACATGGCAAGGCAGGCAAGCCTCGGATTGATTTCCGCCAGGAGCTTCTGTTGTGTTCCCTCCCTGGACCGTCACCCCTCTCATCATATTAATAATACAGGAGCGATAGTTTCATCCCTGTGGGGTTATTCTAATTTTATGGAACGTCTTCCACGTCTCCAGGAAAAAGGTCACAGTGTGACCCTACCGGAGCAACAACGTTATTGACTGGACGCCCCTCAAACATTTGGCGGGGACATTCATTGTCCAGAGAAAAATAATGGTAATCATCTCTGCACGGCCCTGACCTTTCATGCAGCCCATCTACCTTCCATGCACTTTGCTCGACCTCGACTGTGCACACAAGATGCATCATCGTGACATTTTAATGTCAATGCAATGCTCCACACACACATTCATGTGTGATGACCTTGGATATTAACCACCAAACGTTATGCTTTCGGTTTTTAGTTCTCTCCACCCAAACACTGAGTTGAATTGTTGGGAGTAACACAGTAGAGCTTTTGATGAAGTCTAATCTGTGCACAGAGGGAACTTAATTTGAACACTTTCTTTAAAAAAAGGTCACTAAGTACAATATTTAAATCTCCTGGAGTGTCTACTTTTTTTTATCAGCTTACTCCAACAAGTAATAACAAAAGTCTTCCTCTGTAGTAGAAATGAGGAACTTTAAAAAAAAAAAAAGTAAAAGTAGCACTCACATGGATCCTTCCGTCCAGCTGAGCGGCTCCGTCCTCAGCCAGTCTGAGGATGTAGAGGCCCATGTTGTACTCGGTTCCCCCTCGCAGACTAAAGCCGAAGCCCCGAGGTCCCCTCTCCAGCTCCACCGTCAGACAGCCCTATAAGGGCGTAAGGGTAACGCTCATTAATACACACACACACACACACACACACACGCACACACGCAAAGTCATGCAGCAACACTCACGCTCACAAACCTGCACTGGCCTGTGTGAATAAATGATGTTATGGAACATTTTTGTTTCAATTGAAAAGGCCTTTAAGCCCATTTTTTTATATAATTGACTGTTTTTGTCATTGTCTGTATCTTTTCAGCACACAGTTGCCTCCCGATTCACAATGTATTATGAATTAGAAATCTCATTAATGATCCCCAGTCTTCTCTTAACGGCTTCATTCTTTGTTCATGCTGATCGGAAAATAAGGCTATGTGCAACTATAATCGAAGAAGGCAATTTTTAAAACAGGAAAACAAGGGTCAGACAGCTCATCTTATTGCAAATGACATTGAGGCGCACCTCTCAAACCCCCGATTGTAGCTCCTTCACCTTAAGCCCTGTCATGATAGAATATGGTCTTGACAGAAAGAAATATCTCAGGTCTCAGTTTGAATGAGATGAGTCAGTGCAGCAGCTTTTGGACACTTCTGTTTATTTATTTTTTAACTAACAAGGTCAAATGTAAAAGTCTGTTTGCCTCCACAATCATATTGTGTGAAACAGCACTTCTCAAGATTGTGTTTCATAATGCATCTACTCCACGGTCGAATGGTTTGGTTAATATGTATGTGCTGCAAAGGTCACCCTGATAACGGTAAACCTGAGCATCCTGTTCCGGTGAATCGAGTGGAATGTCTCTACTGTTTTTATTCCATTTTTCACCCGTGGAACAATTTAAACTCAAAATGATTTCTCAATTTTGAACATTTTGTGCCTCCATCCAAATGCTGAAAAAGCGGAATATTTACGACAGTACGAAAGGTAGGAATGATAAAACTTGTAGCACAAAAAACGTCATTGAGTCAAAGCATCTGCTTGAATTAAGTTTCTATATTGGAAATGTGGAAGGAGTTGAACAATATAAAACGTGGAGGAATAATAATTCTGACTGAATTAAAACCCAATGCAGGCAGCATGAGCAAACCCATTGAATTAACTGTAGTACAAACTGTTGGATGCTTATTATGAAGAAGACGACATGTATTGGGAGGAATAATCGGATTTTCTCACCTGGTTGGGTCCCGTCACACACATCGTTCCCTGCTCGCTGAGTGAAAGGCTTCTGTGTTCAGACCAGTCGACTCCCTCCCTCTTCTCTTCCAGCTCCAGGTTGCAACTGAAACAAACGGACGTGTTTCTCTTTAGGAACACATGCTGTCAACAGTGTGCTGCAGGCCACAAGCACAAAAAAAAGCCATTATGCAAAACTTGAAATCTAATTTAATGCTGGATTATGAAAGGGACGGCGTTTTCATGGGTGGATATTCTAATTTGTGTGCTGTTTTGTTCATTAGAGGCTACATTTTCTGTACTGTGCGTGAGTCTAATGACAAAGGATCTTTTGGTGGTTTCATTAAAATTTATACGGGCAAGTGGCATTCTTTTATTATTACCATAACCACTTGTTTTCCATTGTAGGGGAGATTCCCTACATTCCTGCATTCCCTGTCAGTGTACAGCCTCATCGGGGCAAACGTGAGGGGGGGGGGGGTCAAAAGTCAGAGCACCAGCGGTGGAAGAGCAGTTGACTGCTCCAATTTAGAGATAAAAAAAACATAAAGGCAGCACAACCATTTTCTCAAATGGCCTAAAGTGAAAATGTTTCATGAAAGGTAAGGGAACATTTTGTACTTTTAAGGAAACAAAAGGTGGGGGATTAAAAAAAATGGACCTGTCCTTTATTCCCATCCACAGGGTAGCAAGCAGGCGACGGCTGTGCACTGCGTGGGTGTAGTTCACTAGTCGAACTGTAGTTGGCGAGCGTTGAAATCAAGTGTTAAGCACAGGATGGTTGACCAGTTCCAAAGGCCCTTTTCCACAGTAACCAGAGCATTTGTTTTCGTTGCTCTCACTCTAAATGTAGATCCGAGCGGGAGGTGATGCTTACCGTTCCTCCTGCAGGGCGGACCTCGGCCCAATGGCTCTGTGCTGCAGCGCTGGACTTTGTTTAGCTGAACTGGCTCCAGACGGAGGCCCCTTGTATTCTAGAAAACACAGCAATCAGTGAAGAAATGCCAGTGCTGTGTATGTAATCATTCTTAAACATCATCATTTTAATCATTTGAATATTTCAAACAACCTTAAATCAATTTTGCATCAAACAAATATAACAATAATCAGATGTCCTACTAAATGCACCAGAATTACAGTGACGTAGTGTGTTAATGTTCTTTATTCACTCAATCCTTTCACGTGGACGGGGGCCTCAATTAATAACAACATTTTCAGTACTGCTAAAAAAGTATTCGTATATTTCCATCACATTGATCGGTTTGATTGCTGCAAAGCTAATTTACCCTAGAGGGTAAAGAATTAATCGACCGAATTGATCGTGTTGCAGATGACACTCACCATCCTCTGGAACCACAGTGAGGGTGACAACTGTGCCGGCTTCCTTGATAAGCTGAACAATGTCGTTGTGAGAGAGCTCGATGATGGAGCGCCCGTTGACCGCTGAGATGCGATCCCCGACGTGCAGCAGGCCGCAGCGGTCGGTCGGGCTGCCTTCGATGATCCGGCCAATTTTGTGTGGAATTACTGAAATGATCGATATACCAGGATTAGTGTTCTTCTTCAATGCTGCTTAACATCGTCTACTTTCAACCCAGCGGCCACTACGGGGCGCTATCATCATGAAAAATCAACAATACAGTCATGTAAACATTGTCCAACATTTCCTTCTCTAAATCTAAATTGCAAAAAATATACTGTGCTCATAAAGCAAATCGTCACATTCAATCAATATCGATGGCGGATTTGAGGGACGGGACCGTCACCTCCGTACGGCGGTTTGCTCTTGGAGGTGAGGATGACGAAGCCGAAGCCCTCCGAGTCTCTGCGGTGGAGGGTGATGTCGAAGGACTCGTGGTCCAGAGCGCTGGGCATCGGCAGACGAGGTAGCTTGGGGGAACCGTTCACAAGCACCGGAGCCATTTCCAGAGCCTCTTCCTCTGTTGCATCTGAAGATGAACAGAAAACGCATGCAAATGTGTTTGGTGCAAATGTGTTTGTATTTGTTTGTGTGGGAGTGCGCATTCCTGAGGGTTTTTGCAAAGGCTTCTGGAGCGTAATGTGCGTTCACGTAAAGGAAAATATGCAAATAAGCGGGTCTTCTAACGGAATAACATATACAATGCCACAGTGCAGCAGGGCGATCTACAGATTGTGGATGTTGAAAGCGGTTGCCAGTGGCGACCGGTGAGTGTGTTGGCAGAGAGATAACCCTTTGAATATTCCGTGCAAGGCCTCTTTTGCCTGAATCCATAGCTGAGGCTGCGCTCACTTGTGATTACGCATGCAGCACGTCCAGCGCCGTTTCCCTGCGTTTCATCTACGGAACACCTTATATTTATAGCCACGTCTAAAACCAACCATCAAACAGCTGTTGCTTCCGTCAAAATACAAATTGCCTCAGACCTGCGTGCCTTCTCCTTGGTATTTAGCGCAGTGCATTATCTAAGCAGACCGTACGTGGCTCACTGTTTATTTAATCAAAAAACAGCAAAACCCAGCTTTTGAAATAATACGTTTCAACATGAAAAGGGAAAATTCATTTCATTTCAACCATAATTATCTCTCTGAGAGCAGCTGCAAAATGTGTTGTTCCCCCATCCTTGCGTAAGGTGACGGTGAGGTCGTTGGAGTCCTGCAGAGTGCTACTTCAGCTCCAGTGGCCGCGGGGCGCCGCTCAGAAGCAGCCTTTGTTCTGTTCGCTTGGTTTGCAAACTAGTACGGCATCATCAGCACCGAAGTTTCATTTACTTCTTTAACCCTGTCGGGGGGCTCTGCTCGCCACTCACCTCTGTAGATGATCTTCCTGCGTATAGTCAACATGACTTGACCGTTACGCGCCGCGTTGGTCATCAGATCCAGCACCTGCTTGTGCGAGCGACCTTTAACCATCACGCCGTCGATGCCGATGAGCTCGTCGCCGGCTCTCAGGCGGCCGTCCTTCTCCGCAGCTCCGTTGGCCACAATGGCCCCGATGTACACCTGGGGAAAGATATTCTGATGGGGGGTTAGCAGCCACCGAGGACGTGGAGCGCTACATCTCTCAAGGCGCGTGACAGTCATCACTGTACTTACTGGCTGCTGTGGACCTTCTCCCCCAAGAACACGGAATCCAAAGCCCGTTTCGATGTCTCTCTTTAGAAAAACATCGATGTCTTTGGTGTGAGGCTCTGTGGACGAGTGATACCAGGTGAGGGGGGTCGCGCTTTCAAACGGCACCTGGACGTAACGCTCAACGAAAAAACAAACTTCCCGAGGACGTCCGCCGTGGTGTCGGCCTTCACTTACGTCTGCTCTCCAGCAGGGCTTTGGACTTCAGGTACATCTCGGTGGCTTCCCGTTTGGGGGAGCCGGCGGAGCGCAGGGTGCTCGTGTTGGAGTGGTAAGGCAGCGCCTGGGGGGCCGAGTCCGCGGTGCCGTCCAAGGTCTCCGTACTGGTCGTCATTTCCTGTCTCTGAAGAACCACACGCGCACCATCAACCCGCACACCCCTTTGTGTGTCTCAATCAATTCAAACGATTAGATTTGACATTAGCTCGCACTTCCTTCGGTATTCACCTATGACGGATATCACACCTCGTATTAACAGTTGTGTTTCACCAGAATGCCTCTGAGCATGAGATAGTGATACATGAAGCTGCAAAGGTCACTTCACCGGCTCTTTTTTTCCCCCCTTCAACATGCTTCACTTTGCATCCCTTCAATTGTTTTGAAGGCCAAAGGGAAGATAATTTAACGTCAAATAAAATATGCACTAGAGAAACATCAGATTTCCCCGCGGCAGCGCTATTCACGCTGAAGGCCAACCTCTTTATCTAAAACTCTTGTATGAATGATACCGCCATATGTAATGAGGCTCATCCGTGCTTCATTATCATCGCAATCCCCTGACAATGGCCCTAAGAATACGGACCCTGAAAGGAAGTAATTAAGGCCGTTCTCCGAGCAAACAATAGGAGGCGCCCAGAAGCATAATCAATATTCAAATGTATTGCTATCATTTAATTCGATGCAACAGAGGCTTTACTGGTTAAGCTGAAGGACAAAAAGCTTTTGCAATTATATTGCTGGATAAGTCCCCGAGGGAAGACAATGGTGAGGAAATTGGAAAAGATATGCTTTTTACTCACAGGCCTAAGACTCTTCACAGGAGATGTTTGACCTATTGAGGGACACAGATAGACGACAGGAACACGGTGAGAAACGTCGACGCGACTTGGAACAACAACGCTCGGTGACGCGCCGTCCACCAGATGGCGCTGCCCCTCTGACTGAGGAGCTGTAGGCGTGTGCTCGCTGAAGAAAAAGCCCCATTAGGCAACATGCATTCACGGGCGATGAAAGATACATGGGGAGTATGAAGGTACGACATGTGGTGGAAAGAGATGCATTAGAGATTCATGCATGTAATTCAATGAGTAATAATTCTCTCTCTCTGTTCGCTGTACAGCACACCCACACGCTCCATCCCAGGCGCTCAGATTGTTCCCTGCAGAGCATCCTTTGCAGCCCCCTCCTTCCACCCCCCACCCCCCCATCCCCCCCATCCCCTTCCCCTCACCCGCAACTGCACGCATTAACTGGGTTAACAAACACTCCTCCGGCGCCGACACTTGGCTTGATGAGGGGTTAATGGAGCCTGATGCAAAAGTCGAGCGGCGAAATTCCCAATCCAACATCAGAGTCATCAAAAGTATACATGAGGGCGAGACAAGCAAGACATCTGCCTTCTTTTCCTCCCATCCTTTGGATAAGATGCGCTCTTTGACGTCCACCGCGCACACACACACACACACACAGAGGGATCTTCTTCCCAGCCAAAGGCCATTGTCTAATAAGGGTGAAAGCTGGCATTGGCTCTTTGGCTAGGGAGGCCCAGCCCTGCTGTGACTGTGGGGCCGTGTATTGCAGCATCGGTGGAGTAGGACATTGTGATGGTGGGTGGGCGAGTGGGTGTTTGCGAGAGGAGATAGGAGGGATGGGATTTAGCCACGGCTCTTTACGGGGGCCACGGATATGTAGAGGCAAGTAGAAGCTCCTCTGATGATCAAAGCCAATCCGGGGTTCATCGATTTACGCAGTGAATCCCCGGGGCGGCTCGAGACGATGTAGGAGACATTTGCTGGGCGCCTACCCTCTTCCGTCTCTCACTCGGGAATCAAGCACAGCCCCACGCTTATGTAATTCCCCCCTTCCGACTTGTAACATACTGCGTTACGCCTCCATGGGCGTCGCCGTGAACAGAACTGGGTTGAATGGAGTCACGCGGGAGGGATGCTCGAGGCTTCGAAAGACAAAGTCGCTGCAATGGGACGGCAATGAATAGGCCTCGGCCGGTTCCGATCGTTAAATGTAAAAGCTGCAGGAGGTGCAGGTGGATCTACGCAGCTCGAGGAAGGCAGAAGTCTCTGCTGCGGTGACCTACAGGCCGCAGACACAGTGGCATCACCCGGGCTTTTACAGAACAACAGTGTGTGGTCAGTGAATGGCCCCCAACGACAAGCCACAGCACCACCTCACCTCCCATCAGTATCAGCACTCTGATCTCACCTCCCACGGGCACTGTTGAAGTTGTGTTGACAGCAACAGCAAATTACAACACGCAGGCGGAGGAGGTTAAGGCACAAGAGCGAAGGGTGAACAGAATGCTGAGGGGGAAAAAAATAATGCCACATTTCCAATGCATGGCGCGGCACCGCTGCAGCCGACTCTACTCACTCACTCGTTTTTTTCAGATTTTCAATCAGAAATAATCCGGTTCGTTGGCGATCGCCGTCGAGGTTCTGGAGATAAAACCCTGTGGACCACTGATCGGTCACTTTGCAGCGTAGCGGGATATCCTGCACAGCTACTGTCAATAGCCATGCAGTGGAAATGAGGCACAAGGTCACACAGGAGATCGATATATTAACAGATGACAAACGTCTCTCACCTCCTCGCAGCACAAGCACGTTGACCTCGCTGCCGACTGGAAAGTCTTTGAGGATGTCCACCACTTGTGCGTGACTGAGCGTTTGGACATTCTGCCCGTTGATCTCCTTGATGACGTCGCCTTTCTGCAGGCCGCGGCACCACTGGGCGTCCAGGATCATCTTCACCTTCTGGCCCAGCGGGCAGTCGGCTATGGCGAACCCGAATCCGCCGGGCCCCTTGATCAACGGCACGCTCACCAGCTCGGGCTGCAGCGTCCCCGCGGCCGACTCCCCCCGCTCCCCGTGCCTGCCGTTGGGCAAGGCCGCCACGACGGGCCGCCCGCTGGCATCGGTGGTGACGTAGTGGAGCTCCTGAGAGGAGCCGTGGAGGACGTCGCCCTTCACCAGCAGCGGCTGCCCGTTGATGAGGGGCACGGCGGTCACCACCTCCCCGCCGTGCAGGGCCGCCGCCGGCGGCTGGGTGGCCGGCGGGAGAGGCGGGGGCGGGAGAGGGTCGTCGCTGTTCAGATCCACATCGGGGGGGAGCGGGTAGCCGCGGCAAAGAACCATGTCCACATACTGGTTGATGTGGATGGACTGGAACATCTGCACCACCTCCGGGTGGGTTTTGCCCAGCACAGAAATCCCGTTAATCTCAACGATGACATCACCTGAAGCAGAAAAGAGAGAAAATGGCTATTTTTGTGTTTAATCGCCTGTCTCCACGTGTCTTTCGTGACGTATTTCTTCCTTTATCAGATGGACCTTTCTTATGTCTCTTTTTCTCTTCGCAGCTTTTCTTCTTCCATTCCTTCAGACTACCATCACTTTATTCATGTCCCTCCTTCACACGCTCCATTGTTGAACAAACCTGAATAGCACTCTTCGCCACAGCTACACGGGCAGACGACGGGTGTCGATTTCTCTCACAACGTACCCTCGTAGCCATTACACACACACACACACACACACACACACACACACACACACACACACACACAGCTTACAGCTGTTGATGTACTTATGCAGCTGCGAGGCAACGGCAAGATCAGAAGCTAAACAACAAAGCCGTCACATGGCTTCACAGCCTTCACAATCATCCTGTCTGCTATCAAACTATACCCTCGATGGAGGTAGGTAACTCTGAAAATAACAAAATGAATGAATACCTTCTGGGCCGGTTGGTTGGTTGCAAAACATATTTGTTTGTCAAATTGTAGAAATTAGAAGCTCAGAACTCAAAGTCCTTCCAGCCAGCTAAGTGCGATTTAAGTGTTAGATCCGCAGAGGTCGCGCTCACCGGACGCCATCTTTTTGTCGTGGGCGGCCGGGCCGTCGGCGAGCACGTTTTTCACCTGCAGGAACTCATCAGTGCGATCGCCACCGATGATGGTGAAACCGAACCCCTGGGAGCTCTTCTTCAGCGCCGTGTGGTACAGCTCGCCCTGCAGCTCGCTGGGGTCAGAGGTGAAGCCGAACGCGCCTCCCTTACCTGCAAACAAAGAGCACCGTAGCAAAGTGTCAACATGTTATCGGCCATTTAAAATGAACAGACGCGATGTACATGCCTAACCGAGATGAACCACTAAAGACATAATGGAGACAGATACATACAATGTTAGCTTTAGATGCTAATTTAATCAACTCATGTGCTTGCAGCTAATACATGACCATAGAGCAGAACACCAATTTAGCGCAGTGTCGTCTCTTATCCGCTTCCTGCGGCAGTCAGTGGCTCAAAAGAAAAGTGTTTTGTCAGGGCGGACTTCGTATAACCTCAGTAAAGAACATTTTAAGGTCAATGGCAACATCAATATGGACCAGCTTGGCTCTGGCTACACACGAGATAACCGACTGCCAGGGTCACACTGAATTAAACGGAGCAGCGTTCCTATCTGCCGTTACTGTGGTATCAGCACTTTAGATCCTTTAGACCTCCCCCTCTTCCCCCCCGTCCCCCTTCCGGGACGCCCGACGGCCTCTCTGGCTCTGACTGCGTTATAGCTTTGACTCAAAAACACTTAAAATGAAGCCATTTGGTGCCAAAGGATGCATATTGTGGGGACTGTGCTGTCTATTGACAGAATGCCACGTTGCAGTCGCCGGGATACTAGAAATATCAATTTAGCTTTAGAAATGGCCAGGATTTGTATTTTTTTGTTTTCAACAAAATTCAGGGAAACAAAATGGCGTTTGTACCTCAAAGACAAGTTATTCATGAGTAATATTTTTTCCTTGAATATGACGGTAACACTTTGTATGCTGCTCATCTCTATAGTGCTGTATAATTATAACCACTGATAGATATTCATAATGCTGCTTGGATGCATTTTATTGTGACTTATACGGTTGAGCTCCTTGTGTTTAAAGCAAGCTGATAAAACAGGAAATGAACAGAATTTCATCCCACATCTCATTTTCAAGATCACCACAGCAGCTTTCTAGTTGTGAACTTCTCAGTTCCTTCACTAAACACAACGAGGGCCATTTTTGGCTTCCTCCCGCCGGCACGGCGCTGAAATAACCATTTGACTGCAAGTTTGAGCGTGGAGAAACAGACAGGGAGGGAGAGCGGAACAGACGGGGGAAGTGAGAGCGGCGTGCGCGAGCCCGGACTTGTGTGGGAGAGTCCAGGGACGGTCTGTGCGCCAACGTCTGTGGGCAGACTTTGAAAGGCGGCTGCAGACAAAGCCGTCAGCATCCAACCGTTCCTGATTTCCTCGTGTGTGTGACTCAAATCGCGCAGTCACTCCCCCGGAGACGTTATTCATAATTGGGAAGACGCCTTTCTCACTAAATCAACCGAAAAACGGCGACTGCACCTTGAGCACGAGAGTTTAAAAGCAACTTTAACAGGCAACTCGGCCAAAAGTACCCTTCAGAGCAGAGCGACGCGATGTTGGCTACCCGACAAACGCCGCGGTGTAGTGAAAACAATCATTTATGCAATGACTTTATGGAGCATTTATTTGCATATGTAGTGGCAGTAATTTCCCCCGTAAAACAACTCCCATGGAATCCATCCCGGAGAACTGTGACGTTGTGAATCACAGCCCGAGGTGCAACCGCCAACCGTTCCGCCACAGCAACCGACAGCTCACTGTTGTGTAATCGGTAATCAGGGAATCAGTCTCCTCCGTCTCTCCACACCTGAGCAGAGAGACGTCTGGCTAACGCGCGGCCTCGCCGATGTGCTGTTCCACCAGCTGCTTTCTAAAAGCCGGCCTCCGCCCCCCCTGCAGGTTTTATCGCGCTCCCTCCCCGAAACCCTTCCGCTGTTCCATCTCCACGACTCAAACCCGAAGCCCGTCAAACCTCAGGAACAGGCCGCTAAACGCAGAGCTGACAAAAAGCCGCCTTTGCGTGAGCAAACTGCGTCCGATGAACATTCTCCTTTCGCCTTCGCTTGCCAAGACGACGTACTTGTCGCAGCACGCTCGCTGGGGTTGAAAGGGTCGGCCTTCGGTACGGCGCATAAGCCCGGGTGATTAAACTATAAGTGCATGGCTATAGGACGAGGACTCGCGTTGGACTCACGCTGGGTGATTTAAAGCGAGTGCAGCTGTTGAATATCACACCGTACATAATCCTGAAGTAGACGCCAGGTGAGAGAAAGTGAGGAACGATCACACAAACAGCAGGAATCCAGAGAGCCACACTTTGCAACTGCCAGTATTTCGATGTCTGTCTGTCCGAGGTTAGTATGTTTGTTTGTGTCCATGACTCAAGGGCAGGTGGAGTTTGGGGGGGGGGGGGATAGCGGAGATCTGCACCTCCCTAGTTTCAGGTGACTCTAGTCCTACTGGAATGTCCTGTGGTGCTGGTTTTACCCACTCAGACGATGACGAGAGTGGATTTGAAAAAGCTACATGTGCTTGCATGTCTTATCGACCTGGGGGGGGACGACTTTGAGAGGCAGGGTGCGATGTCTCACGCTGTTTTCAAATGTCACCGCTAGGAGCGTCGCGCCGCGGCGGCTCGCAGGGTTTCCATGTGCGCAAGATTCAAATTTCAACAATCCAGGAAGAGGGGAAGTTGCAGTGTTGAGGGAGGGGGGGGGGGGTCAGGCTCTGCAGTGCTGTTGTTACCTTGGGAAGGTGCTGCTGCGGCTTGTTGGATCACAGCCGTCTCCTGGCTCAGCTTCTTCTTTGCCTCCAGGACCGGGTTCTCAAACTGGGTTTTCTGGTTGATGTGGCTGCGACAAAAAAACAGGCTCAGATTTGAGAGGCTTGCCGACACACACAGCGCACACACCTCAACCACTTTTCTTTCAGTTAATTATGCATGCACCTTTGCTGTAAGGCGGCTGTGATTTTCTAATACAGGGATGTTGAAGCGGCGGCATTATTAATACATTTGTGAGCGCAGCACACATACATGAAAGCCTGCGTTGCCTCCCATTTTATGGGGGGAAACAACGGTGGCTTTTAACGAATTACTGTTGTAGGAAATGAACGGCAACAACATCCTGTTCCTCTACAACAAGGCAAATTGTTGTCCCTGTTGTCCCTCTGGCATACGAACCACGGCCACCGCATCGCAGCGAGTTCATTTCCAGCTAAAAGGCCGGCAGGTATCAGCTCCATCTCGACGCCATTAACTCTGCTCGTCCAAACACTTCCAGGGATCTTCGTGCATTCCGAGCAATAAAACAACAGCGAGCGTTTTCCTCTTTCGCCACAACAGATTGCTACCTCTCCTTCCAGCCCCCTCTTTCCTCCCTCCATCTATTTTAGTTGAGTTTTAAGTCTCCCCCCCCCCACCTTTCTCTGTGTTTCACTGATTTTCTGCTTGGGTGGTGGAGCAGAAAAAAAAAAGAAGAAGAGAAAAAAAAACACATTTCGCACACAGTCAAATGTACCAACGATATGCAGAGACGTCTCCGCATCCCGCACTCCCACTTAGTACACAAACAAAGGCGGAATGCGAGATGAGAGTTGCGTTGGTATACAGGTCGCTGCAGTGTTACCGCACACTTTCGTTTTGCCGCCTACTGATGAACAACGGGGGAATCCTGACCGGAATATCCAACCGCTCCCCTCACCCGAGCCGTGTGCTGCATCCGTTTGTTTATTCTTAGACGGTATTGATTGATGCCGGTCCACTGCTAATGTACACAGTGTAATATGCACCCCGGATCCATCTGGTGAAATGCGTTTTTTGTGCCGTGTGCATCTGCGAGGAACATAGTGGAATAGAACGTTTTCCACTGTTTGCGATAATGACATCAGAGGGGCGCTGCAGAGACACATCCACTAATGAATGAATAGAACTCACTCGACGTAGTATGTGCCGTACTGCGGGTCGTCAATTTCCTCCCAGCCGTAAGGTAGCTCTGCAAACAAGAGAAGAGTGCGCCACTGTGTCGCGTGGAGATGCAAATGCAGGGATGCAGACGACAGAATGGAAGACAGAAGAGGCAGCGGAAGCATAACGTTCAGTGGAAACCACCTGGGCGTTGTAACAACCATTAAACATCGTGGGGGGGGTGGGGGGCGGTGGGGGTGTAGCAGTATTTATTTTTCCCCTGACTGGGACGTTCAGCATAAGAAAGTGGCCGTGAAAACAGTCTAAAATGATTTACTGAACATTTTCTGTTCAGGCCGGCCGGAACGGCTGATCTGTACATCATGCCCTGATGAACGGATCAGGCAGAAGGAGAGACAAGATGAAAGAGAGAGAGAGAGAGAGAGGAGGGAGGGAAAGGGGGGTGGTATGGGAGGGGGGGGCGGGCTCTTCACGCAAGAGAGGGCTTCGGAGTAGTTCTTCAGAAGCAACACACCAACTAGCGTTCTGTAAAAATCCATTAAAACTTGTCTGGAAGGGTCCCACTCTGCCGGCGGAGGCTACTCTCTGTCTCTGCCTGCACTTAAGCCAACATTAGCATCCTGGGGATACAAAGGCACGGCTGGGAGTCCTCAAAGTAGTAAATTAGATCACGTGGCGGTGAAGCTGAGGGCTAGGTGACCTTAAAGACAAAGTTATGGAGTTTTCTCCTTGTTTTTTTTTTTTTTTTTTCATATTGCGTGCGAGGTGATGGAACACGTTATGGTGGGCAAAAACAATAGAGGTGTCCCCCCCCGTGCACATACATGTGCAGCAGCTAATGGAATGACTGCATGCTTGAGTAGTGCAGCCTACATACCCCCATCCTCGCACTTCTCAGGGGGCTTCGCCTTCTTCGCCAAGCGGGGGTCCAACCACGTGGTCGTCTTGGTATTGTGACTGCGCAGACAAACAGAAGCCAGTGAATATCGACTGTAAAGGTCGATTATATATATATATATATATATATATATATATATATATTAGGTGTCGTCACCGGATCCGTCGTCACAGATCGGATCGGTTTGTTTATAATCTGATGTCACATCAACGCGTTTGTTGTTAGGCGGCGTTTTCAGAGGGGAGGGCAAAAAAAACTCACAACGAGGAACACGACAAACTCGTTTATCCTCAGATGTGTTGAACAACCGGGTTGTGTAATCAGGAGGAAAAGCACATGGTCTTCTGATATCTTGAGAGACAAATGGCTTTGAGCCAAATAAGATTAAACACACGTGCTGGCATGTACACTGAGGGAGTCTATTACATCCACATATATATATTGTGTCATCTTACAATACAGTATATGTAGATAGTTGCATTAAGAAGCAGTATAATAATAAATAGGGCACTGTAGTAGAGTGTAGAGCTTGCTTATCCTAACCCCTTACAATATATATGTTTAATATACAGTATACACTTTATACTCATTGTATATTGATATCTTCTATTGTTTGTTTGTGAATAAATCACCCCAAAAATTGTCTTTTTTAACTTTTTTTTTCTATAATTTTTCATCTTTAAGATAAAGGAAGACAAATAACACAAGGTAAATGTGAAAGAAATCCTTTTGTTTGGACGTGGGCCACTTTGAGTTGTTGTTGAGCAGCTACTCAGTAGTGAGTCAATTACGTCACAAAGCCATCTTCAGGCAACCCGGATGAAGTTCTTACTGTACGGATTCAATAATAACAGAAACATTAACATGCATTTCATTCTGCATGAAGCCCAGAGCAGTAAAATAAAATGCTGTTTTACATCAACTATACAAACAACACATCCATTTTTAACATCAGATCCCACAACAAGCCCTGCTGCAGTTGTAAGATGACACGATTTACATAAGTAACAACAGCCAAGTTGTCAGTTGACCTACATTCTATTCTTCATCAGCTGGCATACAGACTGTGTAGCGCCCGATGGAGTTAACAACATAAATACCTGAAGCTTTATCTTACTCGTATGGCTTCTGGTATTCTACATATCAGCTTTTTTTTTAAAGGAAAGGGCAACTCATTTACCCGAAATGACTTTGAGCTCAGCTGCCGATGAATACACATTTGACTGTTATCTATGACATCTGGGATGCTCGCGGTAATGAAGGAACTGACTGTGAAATAGACGCCACGGCAATTCAAAGACAATTCTTCTTTCAATCAGTTGATCAATGAGGTCTTATAAAGAAAAAAGTAGATTTTTGACTTCATATTTATCCGCATAGATCACCATGTTTTAATGTCCCATTTTGCAGCAGAAAAATCTTTGTAACCTGGTTCAGAAAAAACCTCCCTGTTCGCTATGGCTGATCTCCTGATTTGCATAAACGTTCAAATAGTCAGGCTGAATTTGTGTGACAGGTGCCAGGCTGCTAGCTGCTAGCTGTTAGCTGCTAGCTGCTACCGCTGACTCTGCTGACATCCACCGTTCTGCCCATCGGCTCCTTGGTTACATTCAGCTAAAGCTGCTGTTGCTCAAACTGGTTCTTCGGCGAGGCGTTGATTCAACCCTGTGACCACTTCGGATGGGGCAGTTTGTGCTTCGTGTTCAACTGCTGCAGCAGTTCACAAAAACCGGTGAATCCTCATATTGGAAACCTACAGACATCTGGAATCTTTTGGTTGTTAAATCACAATAAAATAACTAAATGATCACTGAACAAAACGCGATGAATTACCACCGATGCTCGTTAATTGCTCAGTAGACCAACTGCTTCTCCACTAAACGGTCTCAGGACGCGTGGGTTGTGTCCGTCACTTACTCTATGAAGTAGACCATGCCGGTCTCAGTGTAAGCCATCTCCCAGTTGAGGGGCAGGGGCTCCAGGCTGTCATCGCGGGGCAGAGAGCTCCAGGTGCGGAAGTCCATGGCGCTGCTGGACTGGTTGTAGCTGGGCACCGCTTTCCTCCAGTGGGCGCCCTCTTTGTGCTCTGCACCGAGATATGGAGAAGAAGGGCGGGAGGGTGTGAAGATGGAGCGGTTAGCCCGCAGGAAGACCTCTGTGCTCTCCCGGTGTCATTTGTGCTGCAGGCCAGTGGAGGAAGAGCTGTGTCGCTCGGAGGATTTGCATGTGATGGTGTGTCTGCGTTTGTGTGTTCGCCACAGGGCAGTTCGGCATTTGCATGTGCACACAGCGTTAATGCAGATGCATACGTACGAGTACCCTCCCCGAGGGCTGTAACGATATTAAAAGGGCCATTTAAGCCCAAAGAGATTTCTCGGGTTAAACTGTACTGCTGTTCTTCACTTATAAACTATGGCTCATGTATAGCCACCCATCAATGATAAACTGATCTACGTTGAACGTGAAACCCGCAACAAAGGCCTTCCACTTTGCATTTAACACCTTCCCTCAGAAGACGAGCACAAAAGGATGCAACGAGAGTTCTTTTCATCCCTTTTCTCTTATGCAAAGCTAACCTTGTCACAAAAGAGGATGACGCTGAAAGATGTTACGCACGCCGTATTTCTGGCTTTATAATTCCTCCTGCATTTTAGATTGAATACATAATTGCTCAAAGTTCCAAACGCAGGCCTATTTGCAGCATGCAAAAAGCTTTTCTTCCCTTGCCACTCTGATCAAAAAAGACACACTGTTGGGTTTAAAGGTAAAAAGGCGCAGACTGAATGCCCATGGGCTCCAAGAGCCATGTAAACACTTGGAGGACCAGCCGGGGGCAGAGCCTGAAGGAGAGCCGGGGTCGTCCGGTTCACAGCGAGGTGAGGGCCCACTCAACGATAGACGTAAAGAGGGACTGCAGGGGAAAGGTGGGGGAAGGAGGGACTTTACGATAAGGCCCGCCTGAGCAAAGACGGGGGGGGGGAGCTGGAGTCAAGAGTTTAGAGGCTTAGAGCTCACATTTTCCATTAACCTCTTTCTTCATCCAACCATAACTCTGCCCATCTATGGCTGGTCTGAGGCTACTCTGCAACGGCCACAGGCAGTCGTTGGTGGCTGGTTGGTTTCCATAAAAAGAACTCCTGCATGTTTGGGGCATCGTTCTCTGTTGGGTTTCAATATGACACAGCGGTTGGGTAAACAGACTTTGGCTTTCAGTGAATCCTTTGTACAGCTGAGCAAGCAGCGTTTGAGCCGTGACTGTCAAAACAATGTTGGTTGTGGAAAGAAAAACATCATTTCCAGCGTGGCTTCGCCCCTTTGGTAACTCAAATCTCCCCTGTACAAACCCAGATATGGTGCGCAGTATGTCACCCTATATGCGCTTTTCATTGAGGAAAGATTTGTCCTCAAAGAGCCGAGGAGGTCGATCGCATGCCTGGGTTCTGACCTTCTCAAGGTGACCTCTGTTGACGTATAGTCACGCCCGGCGTGAGCAGGTTTGGCAGGTCAAATTTGTCATGTTAGTTGTAGTGTTCGGGACGAGAGCTTCAGCGAGGTGATCAAGCCGCTCGGGCCCAGGATCTTTTAATGTCGTTTTATGTGACAGATTGAGAAGAGCACAGTACTGAGGCGTCCTCAAACACCCACTGGGGCCATCAAACGGTTATTAATCTGCCACCAGGTAAAGTCTACATGTCCTAAAGCAGACAGTGATGGTGATCTACCGCGGCAGTCCCAGGACCAAACCAAAGTACGGCCGAATAACCGTTATCTAACATGACATTCTGGGCTTGGACATTTACTGACCAGGCAGTCCGTTGACCAGCGGTGGCCTCTCATCATCGTCTTCCTCTTCAGGGACCGCGCTGTCCTTCCTGTCCATCTTACTGACGGAGGTGGTGCGTTTCCTGGGGATCTCGCCACCGTAGTCTTCATCAAACAGCACCTGATCCACCAGGTCCGGCTGCACCAGGTTGGGCTCCGCCGGCGGCTTCGGGGTCCCGTAGTAGTTACCTTTGAGCGTAAAAGATGGGTGGAGCGGAGGGAAGGGGAGGAGAATGACAGGGACTTATAAATAATGCAATCGCAAGAAAAACATACAGTGGTGTGTCAAGAACTGTGTGTGGGAAGCAGGCAGGTCGACCACCATCGCAACATCATTCAAATTCCCCTGATTTTAATCAAGTTCCAAAAAAGAATCCCCTAGATGTCACACGCCAGCGCTCAAGGTTGACTTTTTACACGTTTCATGGTTCTTCTTCCTCATTTTCCACGCCTCTTAACCCCCTGCTTTGTTTTCCTTGGAGAGCTGCACCACGGGGCTGTGATGACTCATGAAACATTAACATCTCTTCACTTGAAGTTTGCCTGCAACTGATTATACTGATCATTGAATACAGCAATTATCTAAATCTCAGCTTGCTGTTTTTTCCCCCTAATGAATTAAAACCTTGTGTTACGGGTTATAAGCATTCAGGGCACTCTCTAAAGAAAAAAAAAGCTTTGTTAAATTATTTGCTCATTTAGCTCACGGGGCGATCCATCTATCTATGGCTGGTGAGCAATACGTGGAACTCCATTTAGGCGTGGAATAAGTAATTATTCAACCTCTATTAGGATTATAATTTATGTGCATACTAATTTACATCCCTGCCAGTTAGTACAATTATTTCCTTCCACATTCAACTCCGTCAGATGTCGTTGCACAAAGATATCAAAGAATCTTTTGGGCAATCGGTTTATACGGTCAGTTTATTTACTTGGTTTGTCACAATTAGTGATCATGTAAGATTGAGCCTCCTCTGCTAAATCACGATTTATAATTAGATTAATTAAAGAACAGAGAGAGATACAGCTGGGAATAGGGGTTTTCAGAAATGTAATTAGCCTCCAGAAAACTCAATATTCTTTTCCGTTGGACAAGGGTATTACGGACCTTTGATGTAATTAAGCGTAAACATGCATATGCTGTATTCCAAGAGAAACATTTAACAACACCAGATCTTTTTATAGCTCGGTACGTGCAGGCGAAGCTGACAGCTCCGTGCACGTCGGGAAGAACAGAAGCCTCCGAGGAGCACATCACAGTCGCTTCAGCAGCTTTACGGCACAATACCGTAAAACCACCACAGCTCCTCTGAAAAGTGAGCCCATCTCCTCGAGCTCGTCTTCCTCGCAGCGGTGGAAAGGTCGGCGCTTTCATCCGGCCTCCTTTCCCTCTCGTGGTGCGACTCGCCATGTTTACGAAGCGACACTCGTCCGCGTTCGTCAAAGATGGCTTCATTAACCGGGTTGTGCACGGCGATAGGGAGGCGAGATCGGGTCTGCTGGCTAATCCCCTGCCTGTCTCCTGTCGCACGCCGACATTCATCAGCCAGACGCGCCGTCTGTGATTAATTACTTACAAAACGTGTCTATTGGCCCCTGATGAAAGTGTGTGAAAGCCACGCGCCGGTGAAGATTTGCGTTGGCATTTAGCATTATAAATGGAGGGAGGCCTTGTCCGACGGGACTTCGCGATCCTCGCGTGTTCGCGTGACGGGAAGAGCGGGCCGACGCTCTTTGGCGCGCGGCGGTAAAATCGGCAGCCGGTAATGAAAAGCCCCCTGTTGTCGAGGGGCGCCACACGTGAGCTATCAGCACGCTTTCATCTTCAGCCCAGATTGCGAGACTCGCACACAACCATCCAACCAGCACGCCACACACTGCCGCACGAGCGCCGCACTCCCACTCACGTTCAATCCAATCTCCGGGTCTGTTTCCCTTCCTCGTTAAAATCCAACTCATTATCAGACCGGGGGTCCCAAAACAACAGATTTTGACGTGTATTCTAATTTGGCAGAATTTAGCATTCCCTGGTAGAAGAGTAGAGATAAAAGCCGCTACGTGCATAGCTTTATTTCCCTGGCATCTGTCTCTCCGGGATTGCGCTTCGCTGCACTTAAATATTTAGTTCTTGACCGGCTGCTCTGTTCGGCGAGAGCAACCTGACCTGAACCTCGGCGGCGGCGGCGAGACCGAGGAGCCCAGAAAGAAGTGCTCTCAGCGTCTTCCTTGGCAGGCGACCTGTGACAATCACAGAGCCGCCTCGACCCACAGAAAACCGTCTAACCTTTATTTCCGTTGAAAGGATGCGCGCAATGCATTAAATGACTCCTATGAAATACTTTCATGGTAGAGGAAAAAAAACAAAAAGAAGAAGTTGAACCATTAACATAACGAGCGTTCAGGCAAGTCACGTGGGACTATTAGTGAGCCCATTATGATTAGCTAAGAACCCCATTAGCGCCGTACCTTGAGTGAACCTCGCCTACTGTTCGCATTTTAAACCGAAGCAAATTCAGGAGCTCTTCGCGGAAGAAAAGCAACCCGTGTGACCTATCGCCAGAGAACGCTTGTCCTTGCTTGTTTTCCTCCCTTCAAAGAGGGGGGAGAAAGGCCGCGCTTCGAGCACAACCAATTGGAGTAAATCTCATTCCTCGATCCAATTGGTCACAGCTCCTCCCTCACTGTGCTCGTGAGAGATCAACCCTCTCTGCCACAGTATCAGCAGACTGGGTTTAAGAGGGAGAGATCGGGGGTGGAGGGGGTGCAGTCACTGTCTGAGTGTTCAGTTTCCTCTCAGGGATCATATACTCGCACCTTCCAACTAATCCACACGCCTGCGCGCGGCCACTTCCCCCCCCCCGCTGCTGCTGCTGCTGCTGCTCCACTGGGGCCCGAGCCTCCACATCGGCCCCGTCTCTGCCTTTATTAGCCGCTCTGCCTCAGTTCGCTCTCCATCACTCCCACTATACCCAAGGTCAACCTCTTTATCAAGGTGGAAATCCCACCCGGCTTCAGCTCACAGATGAAGGACAGCTCGTGGGGGCGAGATTTGGCAATTCCTGAAAAGCTGCACTCCGAAAAGCCGAAACCCCGTGCACGCAAAACTCCTCGACACACACTCGATTCCACACCCGGCGGAAGCTACTCTTACTCTTAAGGCGCTTTCTCACTGGATGAGGATTTGACTTTATCTTTTAATTCTCCATCCATAGGAAGCATAAGACGCGGCTGAATGGGAACGCGGCTGAATGGCAACGCGGGAAAGGTCCATTGAGGCGACAAGAGGTTGCCCATCAAGCATTTGGAAAAATCCCTCCGCCCATTTCACAGCAGCCTGGATTTGCAGTAAGAAAGAACGAGCTTAAAGGGAGAAAAAGATTATCATGTTATTGCTATAATCATTGCGCAAAGTGCGAGAAATCCCCCGCTCCAATCCCCTCATGACACAAATACACAGCGACCGTCTGCCCTTTAAATGCAGGGCAAGCGCTTATGCTTTATTGTAGTTTAAGGTGTTGGAAAAAGTAAATACTTTGCCGTTCAGCTGTTCAGCAAGCCAAAATATCCCTCCTTGTGTAAACGTCCTCCTGGAAACAACAGGACTGGGCTCGTCTACTTGCTGAAAGGTATAAATTGTTTTCTGAGGCCAGGTGCAATAAAAATGAACTCATTTCAAGAGACGTCTTTGTGGGTGTTGAATGACGTTGGTGAATTGCCTAAGCCCACCGGCCGGGTGTGTGAACGGAGGCAGGTTTATCTGGCGATGGTTTACGCAGTCATAACAGGCCCTTTCACTTGCATCCTCAGCGTACGCTGGTGAGATCTACTGCATATTGTCAAGAACAGGCAAACGCACATACACACATACATAAACAATACATAAATGAATATATATATGTTGAACTGACATGGGGAGGTTAGATCTTGAGACATTTTAATTGGATCATATAAAGCCTACATTGGGGAATTTAACCACCTAAGATCACCAATGCATACACATGCATGCGAACATAAAGTAATGTTTGTAACTACCAGCACAAATTGGGCTGAAGGTCGGCAGGTAACACGAGTTTAACTCGTTAAACCGAAAAACCTGTTGCTTTGAAACAGGTGTCAGCCTGTCTAAAACCTGCTGCGGGAAATATCGATCTGACAACATTTCGATGCTGTGAACAGACTTGTTTCAATATTTACAGCCTGCCGATGTGTCCGGAGGTGGCTGGAAAGGGAAGAACGCCGCTTCCGCTGCCCCACGTGCATATTTCTGATGCATTGAAAGGGTCTACACAGAAAATACCTCGTTCGATTAGTTTAGCGAGAGTTCAATTCCTGCGGACGGAATTTACACCCTCTATTCTTAAAGCTTTCCCGCGTCTCGCTGGTCAATCGGTTTCGTCCCGCTCGTCGCATTTCTCTCCGCGGGCTGCGGACTCCCAAAAGGCCGTAAATATCAAGCTCGCGGTCGCTCCGTTAGGTTTCCCGTGCTCCTGACGCCGAGGTGATACCGACCGTCGTAGGTGCCGCTCTCCAGGAGGAGTCCGCTCTCCTCCAGGATCCTGAAGTCTCCAAGGGTGATGAAGTTGTAGTCCACTCCGGGCACCTCTGTCTCCCGGGGAAGCCGCGTGGTGCCTGGAAAAACACACAGCGTGCTTTAGGTGTGGGAGACACAAGTGTTTCGAGACCTAAATGTGTTTGTTTTATCACAAAGTTCTAGTTTGGAATGAAAAAATATATATAAAGACGTCTCGTCCTGTGAAAAGATGGATAATTGATGAGGTTCTGCGGCCATCCTCATTTATTCCTCTATGAGTAACTGCAGCTACGGGTCCTCGTTGGGGGGGTTCTTGACGTATTTACTGGCCACAGCTGAACTGAAGGAAGCGGCGGAGTAAACGATGGGAGCGATAGTTCGTGTAGCCTCCAGGAGCGGAGGATGTTCAAGTCACAGAGGGCCGAGTAAATGCAAATGACACATTCTGCGCAGATTCTGCTCCTGTGGCGAAGCAACAGTCCACTGATGGGACTCTCCACCCCCCCAGTATGAATATCCACAAGGCGCAAATGGACACCGAATGATTACATTAGCATGCGGATTACGTAAACCACATCCCATGAATAAATAAGCATGGACTGTGCTATTATTGCACTCCAGGCTAATTAAGTGGCAAACCTCAAGTCCATAGAAATAACCTGTGCGCGAATGGGAGCCGGGACGGCGGTTATTTATTACATGGGAGGCTGAGCAAAGGCGCGCCGCGTGAACCTCATCAGAGCTTCCTTCCACGGCGATGTCTGTCGCCTAAATTTACTGCCACCCGTGGTTATGCGGGAGATTCACTCACTCACTCACTGAATCCTTTTTCAGGGTCGTGGGGAGGACAGCGCTTGTGAGAACGGGAGGAGGAAGAATATCTTTGTGTGAAATGGATCAGGATCACAGTTCCTTGCAAAACACTGAGATTCACCCTGACGATGCATTACAAATAACAATGCATGCATTACAAATGACAAATGTGACGACATTTGCATTGAAACCTTAAATAGCGCATTCCAGTTAAAAAAAACGTGCACTTGCAGACCCCGAGTAGCATCTTTTCAGTTATGGTGTCCGTGGGAATTAGCAGCGAGGACTCTGTACAGGTCGCGGCGGCCAAAGGGGCGTACTGAGCGATACCGCGTTGCCGTCCCCCATTTGGTTTTATCCCACCGTATTTTCTCCCTAATTAGACTGTGACATCGTCTTTGCACCCGAGCAGGAGAAAAGGAAAACACATCACAGAAGTTTCCTCCCACTAAGCGCCTTGAGACCACATCCCGCTTTCAGCCGTTGACATTGCTTTTATTGTGACAACAGCCGCCGCCTCTGCTGCGTCTCATTACCGACTTGTTTGCCGCCCTGGTCACCCAGAAAATGTCCCCTGTAGCCCAATTACTCGAGGCGCAGTTTTGTACCTGCCAAGAATCTCCCAGAACCATCATCCCGAATGTCACAGTGATGTATACCATCGGCCTCCGATTGGGCTTCAGTCGCTGACGATATAACGAGGGCTCGCTGAGCTTTGGAGGAGACAACCGGCTGAATGCAGCAGAAATTTGCAGCATGATGCGTCACTTTCCTTTCAATATGGGCGTCAGGACTTCAAATGCACCCTCGGATTAACTGTTGGAGAGGGATCCTTTAGGGAAAATGGTCAGTGCATGTCGGGAAAGGGAGCAAGTCGATGCAGTAAACCAGACAAGATTAGAGGGGCGTTCCATGGAAAACCCGGTACAAAGTTTTCGATCGGCGGATCGATCCCCCTCTCGTGTCTCTGAACCGTACATGACTGGACCTTTCGAAGCTCGTTAATTAACATGTTATTTTGTTTCTTAAATCTGAGCAAAAATCCAAAATGCGAGATCGGAGATTCCGCTGGTTGCCGGGCAACCTGACAATGCCCAGTGAGCATTTTTTGGTTGAAAAGACGTTTAAAAGACGTCTATGCCCGACGTTGAAAAGACGTTGCAAAATGGTTTAAAAGTGAAAGTTGTTTCAACGTCTATTCGTAGACGTTGAAAAGACGTCTATGTTTAGACCACATTTCAACGTGATTTTTTAATACGGTAATATTTCGTCTTCTCTTGTATGCTATATCATTATTTTAGAGGTTTAAAAAGAAACTACGTCCACATTTGTAAGTTTACCACCGATATTATAAATCACGTTGAAAACGGGTCTATACGCGAACATCTTTTCAACGTCTACGAATAGACGTTGAAACAACTTTCACTTTTAAACCATTTTGCAACGTCTTTTCAACGTCGGGCCATAGACGTCTTTTAAACGTTGTTTCAACGGATAAATTGCTCGATGGAAACGTACAAGTTACATACTTAGTCACAGTTGTCATGTTAACATCCCGTAACAAGGACAAACACATTATTTTATTGATTTGTATTTATTATAAATATAACACTATACATATAACAGCACTTTTTCTAATTAAAAACAATACAGAAATAAAATATATTTTTCAGGAAAATAAATTATGGAATTAAAAGTGCAGAAACAACATTTCTTTGTTCAACAATTCTGTGTTTGTAGACCATTTTTCTGAATCATTGGAACGTCATTATAGATTCTGAAACAAGATGTGCCTCACTTGAGTTGGGATAGTATACCTGAAATCAGCTGCATCTCCCTCATCCTCACTTGAGGATTCTTTGTGTAAAGGGAGTCAGAGTGCACGGAGCAGATTCCTCTGGTCAACGTGTTTATTCAATTCAAATCATTTTATTTTGTTCAGCTTTGCAATCTGTAAACATGCAACACCCTATCCCCTAAACCCCAAAATGTAAAACACCTTCAACCTGGAGAAACCTGAGGGGAAAACAGTAGGGAAGAAGGTGTGAACAACTTAAAAGATGTACAGTACATCCGATTCCTACAACATAAATGATTCTAATATTGTGGATTATTAAGACAGGGGTAAGGCAGGACCAGTGCAGGGACAACCATCATCAGACGTAATCTCCATCAGATGCAACCACCACCCGCAGAAACCTGTGAGGAGGGAAAGCACAAAGGCAAAGTTGGTAATTTGGGTTTATGATGACAGTAATAAACTAATAATAACAGCAGGTGCGTTAGAACACTCATTTATAGATGGTTTACTTATTACATTATAAACAAGATAACAATTCATCTGCAACTTATGGTATTTCTGGAGTAACATTTTCAGGTATATCACACAGTATCATGCTTTAAGCAGCAGTAACTTACAATGTTTCGGCCTCTTGTTTACAGAGCACAACTTGTTGAATTCAGCCCTTCACCCTTGTAATGCAACTTAGCCACCATTGCTTTAAAAACGTATCTTCAGTGTGAAATGCAATAACATGTATGGGTACAGCAACAACCTAACGCATTAGTAACACCAAACATACAAAAAATATTCTGGAATGTTTACTTTTGGTCCAGGTCATCATGCTGAACGCTAGCATGCTCCAAGCTAGCATGCTAACTAGCAAACTACCTGCGCTAACGCTAACTAGCTTAACAAAAAGGACCGTCTTTCCTGTATCGAGTGGGCAGCACAAGTAAAACACCCGGTTATAGTTCCAGGTGTTCTTCATCCAAACACTCGCGTACTTACAGAGTAGTGGAGCCGGTAGTCGTGGTTCTATCAGCCCGTTCATGTCGCTCTGCTGCCGTAACTTCGCCTCGTGCTGCACCCGGTCGGAGCTCTGCAGGCGTCTAAGAACTCGCGCATGCGCGTTACAGATGTGAGCGGAGTTGTTTACAAGTAATGTTTGAAAGTGCCCGCATTATTATGCCTTAAACGCATCTTATTAACAGCACGCAGTCCGTAGTTTCATATTTATGAAGTTTTAAGTGAAATATTAAATACGTTGAAATCACGTCTTCGCGTAGACCAAATTTCGCCGACCAGTTCATTAATTATTATGAAAATCTTAACGTTAATATCGTCTATCTTTCAACCTTACGTTACAACATGACACATTTATCAACAAATTGATGTTTTCTGGCACGTTGATGTTTCATCCCATTTTTAGCCGGTTGAAAAGACGTTGAAATGAGGTCTTAGACGTTCAGACCTCATTTCAACCCGATTTCAACCATATTTCAACGTTGAAATTACGTCTTGTGCTCACTGGGTGGCCTCAAGACTGGAGCGAGTCACTTTGTGCTCTGCATTGAAAGGATTCCTGCAGATGACCCACTGTTTCAACTAAATCTTTCACATTCCTCCATTTTTCTCTGTTTTTGAACAGGTCAAAAGAAGAAAGGACAATGTGGATTTTTTTTGCACCTTTTTTGAAATAAAACATTTTACCCGATTGCCTATTCCTTTATTTTCATGGTCACGCACAGTGGTCACAACCGTGTGTGTCCGTCCACCCTGGAATGGAACAAATTGTCACTTCAGTCTTCCGAGGTCTCAAGCTGGCGCCCCGCTGAGACGTGCCAATGGGAACATCAGAGGCAGTCAGTCAGAAATGGCGGACCATAAATTTAACATGGTTATTTCGTGCATAGTTTTATGTTGAGAAAGAAAAAAGAGGTCCCAAGGCTTTGCTGTTGAAATGCCGAGAAAGAAATTGGCAACGCGAGAGGAAGCAGGATCGTTACAAAGACAAAGTCGTTCGGCCCTTTTGTGAAGCGTTTGCTTTCAAGACGCCGAGGCGAGCTCCGTCATGTGGCTCACTGCGCTGTGTTCCTGTTGCAAAACACAGCGGCTATTAACATTTAACAAGAAACGCAACACGACTTCACAACATCAATTATTACTGTTTCTTCAAACACAATATTAGTCAACTGAGGACTGAAATGCTGAACTTGAGGCTTCGAAACAGAGAGAATATCCTCCGCTGAAATAGTTGCAGCGCTGCATGTGTACCCGGCCACTGCATTGTGCGCGCGTGTGTGGTACTTTGTGTCCGATCAAACTCTCTCTGACCCATTTCTGACGGCGGTTGACCCTCAGCTTTTACAAATCCTCCTCCCTTTGTCCCTCACCAGAGGTCTTGAGAGCCTCCTGCAGCGTTTTCACAAGAGTCCGGCTGAGACGGAGCCAAACCCGAGGCCCCGGTGGAGGACACTCAGGGATTTAGCACATGGAGACAGTGAGGAGCGTGTTCTCTTTGTCTCCCAGCTCATCACTGCTGTGTGCTGTCCCGCGACGCCGCGTCTCTCTTTCTCTTTCAGCCTTTATGGAGACGTTCCCCTTTTAGGTTCCATAACTGGCCTCAAAGTAGAAAATAATGCCTCCACTGCGGCTCGGCCCGTCTGACCCTGTGGTGACGGCCCGACGGCCCGATGTGTGTAAGTGACTCTGATCCATAAATGAATTGGTTGGTTTACTCTTTGGTTGAATTGAAAAGGTTTCAAAAATATGAAATAGTCTGAATTTGAGAAATGAAGCCTCAGGCGATGACGGGCCTTCGAGCGGCTGTGTGTCGCGGTGCTCAATACAAGGAATTAAACCATTTTTCCTTTTCTAGTTTATATATTTTTATATTCAACAACTCACAAATACAAAGATAGAAGCGAGTCTTCAAAGGCAAGCTGGGGGGGGGAGAAAGAGAAAGAGGGAAAGGGAGCGGGTGAAGGATGGAGGACTGAACGCCAGCGGGTGAATGATGGAGGTGCCGTCGCTGTGCGAGTCCCGGCCTCTTGCTCATTAAGACAGTAATTCAAGCCGGGGATTAGAGAGCCAGTCTGATGCAGCGAGCCCACCGCCTGCCCCTGATGGATGGGCAGTTGTGGGGTCGTAAAAAACCTCGGCGACCGGCAACTATTTTACAAGTGAAAAACGATTTCCCGGAGCCAAGGCGGAGGTGGGCGACGGAATGCAGGACATCCTTGGATTTAAAATTCCCTCAAGACTTTTGCAGAACCCTCTTTGCTCTACAGACAAACCTGAGCTCGGGAAGCAAACAAATAAATACATTTAAGTTACAGCAAACATCCGAACGTGACGGATACATTGAATAATGAGAGTCACGGGGAATGGGGGGGATTAAGAAAAAGGAGGAAAAGAAGTTTATTTCCCCACTCTGATCATCAGAATCAGGACAAAGGAAATATTTAGGCCAAAGTATCCGCCTGAATGTCGTCACAGTTTTAGGATCTTAGTCACATCTCCGCTTAATGCAGTTTCGCTTTGACGAGTCATCTGATGCTTTGTGAGAGTCGCATGGAGATCATCTACAGATGTTCAGGCTCTCATAATAAATGGAATATAAATGACTTTGGCTCATAATCATTTCTGTCTGCTACTGTAATTTACAGTCTATTTGTACACAGGATGTTGCTGTTTATTTGTGGAGGGGAAAACATTTCTGAGAAAATTATATTTGGAAGCAATTCTGCAATTCTGCAACCCACACAAACCTTAATCAAGGTATTAATCTGCACTTTCGGAGCACTAACAGCTGTGTCACACTCTAATTTTGGTTATTTTCCAGGCTTTCATTTAAAAGATTATAACATCCGAGCTCAAAAAACCCAACCACCGAAAATGCAGGAACGTCAGGCTGTGATGTGAAAAGTGTTGACACATTACAGATACAAGTTTTCTGTCTCGAAGCACATATGTCACTACTCGTTAACTACAAATACAGAAAAAGCAGCAACTATATTTACTATTAGATCAACCGCTGTCACATTGTCTTTGCAATATATATCGCTTAAGTTTATGGACATTGTAATGGAAGCTCCGAATATACGCGTGCATCTGCTGTTCTTCACGGTGGTTCTTGGTAGGCGGCAGTACCAACCTTTTGATTTACCACTCCAATAAAGAATAACAGTTGGTTATTATTTGCTGAGCAGAAGGTCATTGGGGGGCAGAAGAGGCTCATTGAGGAAAATAATAAGGCTTTCGCTGAGACGATAGGACGCAGGAGTAAATAAGTTACATGGGGGCTGGAGCGATGTCCTCGATCGGTTGCTATGGTGACATTAAAGAGTGTGTGTGTGTGTGTGTGTGTGTGTGGTGCGCTGTGAGAGGATGCACACACTCCTCTGGTTGGCATTGTTTTTTAGCTCTATGGCTTATAAAAAAACAAAACAAAGAACCATCCTGGTGGCTTTGCAGGAGCTGGATGAACGGTGTACTCACAGGGGATGGTGCGCAGGTAGAGGTTGTCCCGTATGATCTGTTGGAGCTTGTGGTCCAGCGAGCCCTTCTGGAACTGCAGGCTGAGGTAGTGGCGCAGGTCCGTGTTCAATACTTTACCTGCAAAAACAGAGGCAGAGGACGGGACGGTGAGTACAAACCTGGCGATGTGACCTCTGTGAGGGAATCCATCCAAGTGACATGTGATCAATACCACGGGAGATCTAACCGCTTTCACACTCGAAAGAAATGTTGCCTAGATGTTTAATTGGGGGGATTTTCACAGATATTGCGTGATTAAAATCATCATTCCATTGACAGGGTTTTACTGCGTTCATCTCAATTCCATGATAAATACATTCAGTTTGATACATTTTTCACATTTCACTGTGAAAAATGTATCACAATCTACTTATAAAGCAAAAGTCTTGCTGGGAGATTTCAATGAGTCAACGGGGTAAAAGTGGAGGTCATGTGCGTATATCGTGCGGTAAGTCCATGATGCCAAACAGATGTGGGACATGTAGATGTATCGACAAGTTGGTGACACAAAAATCACGGGGATCTTGTGTATATTTTGCACGACGAGTCGTATTTATCGCGACAGGCCGACTCGTAAGCAGGTCAAATAAATAAAACCCTCTCAAAGCTCTTCAGATAAACTCATATGAATGAAAATAGATCATTTGGGCGTGTAATATCATTCACAGCCTCGTGCATGCAGCATTTGCCTTTAGATACAGTGGGACCACCTGCTCTGAGTTGTTCAGAGCTTAAATGTTCGGAGCTTAAATTCTAGCTGATTCACCTTTTGATTGCACTTTGACCCCTGAGGGGGAGGACAAAGTTTAATCGGATTTCATAAACTCTGATCCTTTCTGTTGAATCCATTTCAATCATTAAGTGTTACTGGAGGACATGGTACAAGAGCGGGATGCTTGGCCTAGAAACACTTTAAAATACGAGAGGGCAAAGAGAGCAGGTTTTGCAGATTGAGTGATGGGAGCTTGTTAAAAAAAGAGAACAAACTGGACTGAGATGATTTCTTCGTCGTTTCAAATGAAGCAACAAATGGGAAATCCCAACGGCTAAGTGGCGGGCGACGGATGCCACACGCGGCGCGGCTCTAATAACCTCACACGGGCCTCACAAACTTTCCACCAAAGACGCGCAACGTCGCAACCTCTAAAGCGAAGCGCCGGAGAAAATCCGAAAAAGATTTCGCCTTTTTTTCGCTCTCAACTCCCAGAAGCCTTTGTGAGAGAAAAAAAAAAAAAGAAAACCCCCCAAACAAAGCCAGTTCATGTAAAGTTGGAGGCAGACGAAGACTTCAGAGTCGTCTCGCGCACAAGCGGGGAAGAAAAGTTTTTCTATGAAAGAACACGACGAGGAGTTTTGGAAAACAGGAAGAGATCTTCGGTGTCTGTCTGCCCTGGGCTTCAGTGCTTCAGCGCGAGCTTCATCTCTTGACAGATTGGGGGGGGGAAGCGGGCTTTGAAACGGTTTGACAACCGAGAAGTAATCCGTTTTTTTTTTCCCTCCCTCTCTGTGGCACACACAGACCCAACTCGTCTCCGCGTGGCTGCGGATACCAATCAGCGGGGCTGCGCTGTACGGTCTAATAGAGCGATGCACCCGGGTGATAAAATAATCATGAGCTCTGGGAGTGTTTCAGCGAGTGTTCTCGACGCTCAAACGGCGTTTTCCCGTTCGACTTGTGGCAGGGAGCGTCGTTGCTGCGACCGGGCCGCACGGTTTCCCATTATTTGGTTTCCGTAGCTCCCGGTTTTGGAAGCCGCTGATGATTAAAAAAATGGGCCCCGGCTTTTCAGAATAAAAGGTTGCGCCCTCACAGCTGCTCTAAACAGACAAACAGTCCGAGACTGGGGAACCGAGGCGATATCTGGCTCCTTCGTCGCAAAACTGTCCCAGACTGTTTTTTCTGTTCAAATTCAGCCCGCGCACAAGGGAATATAGCCTGTTTCAACAAAGCTGCATATGCTTTCAGCAGATAATGTGGCATCCAGACGAGGATTCAACCAGGCGGGCTTTAAATCGGTAAAACAGACTCGTCTTAAAGCCAGAACGTGTCAACCTTTTGGCATTCAAACCCCGTAATATATGAAATACATTCATCGATCATCAATCTGCCGGTTTTTCCTGGAATCAGCCAGAGCTCCTTTCAGTGGTACGTCAATGGACATTACGGGGATGTTCAGAATAAATACTGATGCAGAGTATTAGCTGAAAACAAAAAGGATAAGTGCACAGGGCATCAAATGTTTCAAATACATGAGTGACAGCTGTCTTTTCTGAGAACAGAAAGCCTGAAATGAACATCAGCAATGCGAGCTGATGATGTTTTGGAACCATGTGCTTTCAATGTCATGGTTGTTCCTTTTCTTCCCTTTGTAAATATATTTTTATCCGCGTCTTTATTTGTTCCTCTTTCAAATTCCACCCCCAGGTGTCATAAAATATTATTTCTCTCTTTCCAACGCGTTTCTTCTCAGCGCTTTCCCGTCTCTCCTTTGAGACCTCCGGCTAATGAAGCCCGTTGAGACTCTGGCGTGCAATACTGGGCTTTTCACCAGGTCTCACGCCAGGTTCAGATCTGTTCTCGCTCAGAAAAGTCTCCGTGAGCCCGAAACCCCATCGCACCGAACAATACGCCGCTAAAACGGAGCCCTTAATGTCAGGCTATAAGCGCCGCGGCCGCGGTGACGACACTCTCTCTTTGATGACGAAAGAATGGCAACATCTTGTTTAACGGCTGTCGAGGACTCAAACTCAAACGCGGACGTGCACAACGGCGCCTCAACCTTCAGTAGTCCTCGGCAGAGAGTGCTCGTGGCTGTTACCGGGGTCGGACGGGTCTCACACTGGAAACACACACACACACACACACACACACACTGGTTTGATCTGTTCATTGCGGTGCGAGCACAGTGTGGCTTTTTGTGGTCCTGTCGGAGGCTGTTAGTGAGGCTGTGTCGCATCAGAGATCCTCATTCCTTCTCCACGCGGACAGCGCGGCTATTGTGGCGCGCCTGGGTTTTTCTGCAACCGGAGGCCTCAAAGGGCCCCGACGGGCCCCGACGGGCCCCGACGGGCCCCGACGGGCCCCGACGGGCCTCGACGGGCTCCGTTGTGCAGCGTCGGCCGTCCACTCACTTCAAGCTTCCTTGAACTTCTCCACCGGCAGCCAAGATGGTCAGTGGATAATGACACGATGGGCACAGACATGCAAAAGGCTCCATAACCTCCACTACAAAGGACCAGGGCAAAATGACATGTTTGTTGTTGTCCTTTTCTGGTTATTTCTCATCTCATTGTCATTATGTTGAGTCGCTTGTTCAGGTATTCTGTTTGTCTTTGTAGTCATTGTGTGTCTCTTCACAGCTGTTAGTTGCTCTGGACTCATTTTAGTCATGTTGTGGTCATTGTGTGCTTCTTATGGTCCATTTGTCTCTTTAAAGCTGTTTTGCATCTATGATGCCTCTGTGTGTCTCTTTGCAGTGGTTTTATGTTTCTCTGTGGTCATTTTGTGTCTCTCCCATGTTTGAATGCAGTGAAACCCGGGAAATACACTTAGGGCCCCTGAGCCTGCGCCTGGTGGGCCCAAAGAGCCCAGATGGCCAGAAAGAAAAACACCCAGTACAGTAACTGTCTTCTGACAACATCACACCCCGAGGGGGACATTGGGTTCCATTTGTCACATCTATTTCTTCCATGCAGTTTATTTTTTTTCATTACTCATTTAATTCCGCCCTGATTGCAGTCAATGTGATGGCAGAAAATGATCCCTAATTTATTTCCTGTCACTTATATCACGAGCTCGGGCTTCCTCCAAATTCGATGAGATGAGGCCAATCAAACGACCGGTTCCCTTTAAGTGAAGCTGTCGCATCGCACGACTCATCCGAAGATCTGCTCTCCTCTGCCATTTTCTGCATGAGGGCAGTGGATGCGTCGGGAAAGAGCGAGGTCGCTCCACCAGCACGTCGCCAGTTCATCATCTGCAGTACTTTTCTTCCCCGAAAACTGGTGGCTCGGGCAAATATTCCTGCAGCGCCGGCAGCAGAACCTGGCACCCCCAGCGAGGCGGCAGACTGTTAGCATCCTCGGTGCGACCGACACCTCCTCGGAAAGCCACAGAATCAGATTAACACTCCGAGCTCCAGACATAAGTCTCCCTCACACACCAGCACATGTCAAACATCCGTTTGAGCAGATCTGCTTGCGTGATGCTTACGTAAGATTGTGGGGTTTTTTTGCAGTATTTTTTTTTCTAAATTCCCCAGAACTTGTGGATAATTGGTTAAAATTGTGCTGCTGTTAAACAATTTGAATTTCTAAAATAATTGTATTCATGTACGAATCAATTTTAAAAACTGTCGAATCTAGTGCAGGTTGGATTGGAAGCAGAACACAAATAGCTGCTTTCATGTAGCTTCTTAAAGACTCCTTTATGTTTCTGCGTAAATATTATATGCCAAGCTGGACGCCTTTGTGCCATTACCTTTGTACCTTTTTTGATTTCTCCGCCTTGCACGCTTACACCGTTGATGTCACAACTCCGTGAATTGTGATGCACTTCCAAAGGTCTGAGTGTGGGCTGAAGGAACAGGTCCATAAAAGGCTCAAAACGATGGCTTGGCGGTGTCTAATAATCCTGCATGTGAAGTATGAACTCTTGAAAATCGTGTTTTCTGATATAGGCAGCCCACAAAAACAAAAATCGTATTTCCCCGTGTGTGTTTACTGACTCGACATACCCAAATGTTTTGTTTTAAAATCACAATCATTCCATTCGGTATTTTGCTTCTTTACTCTAAAAGCACATGGGGTTTTATATGAAGTTAAATGCTGTTACTGGCCTGGAGCTGTAACTTTCCTTCTGCTTCCAGTCTTTTTGTTATGCTAAGCTAACCCAGTCTATTAACTATTTCTTTGGGGAGCGCGGCTGTGCAGGGATTCTCCTTTTTTTTGAATCCTCTCAATCGGTCACCAGTGAAATGTGAGCAAACGCCTGGTGTGTATTGCGACATTTCATTCAGAGGCATTTGTCCCGAGGCATGCGGGACGTCTCCGGGGAGGTCATTAGCTCTGCTGTCCCT